CTTTTGAAACTCCTAAAAGGCCGAAATTTGACAAGCTGAGCAACCGGCCGATCTGCAGGAAGTGAGTTTGGTTTTTAAAATCAGTGGCGGTTCCCTCAAAGGTCAGACTGCAGTTGAGGTAATGTTCCACAGGGCGTGCATTATGTTGGTAAGGTCTAATAGAAACAGCGCTATGCCTGCCAGCATGCTAGAGGTGTGTGTAGGTGTGTAGGTGTGTGTACTAGGGGGCTTACCGGAGCCTTCACAAACAGGGTTTCCCCGTTCCTGCAGGCTTTGGGGGTGGGGTGTAGGGATTGGAAGTGCTCTTCGGAAGAGTGGAGAGATAAACGAGAGAAGTGAGAGGGATGAAAAGGATGTATTGGTCCAGACACGGAGGGGAAATCTGCTCAAATCTCCGCTTGTTAGAGGAGAGGGGAGAGGGATCAATACCGTCGCTCTGGGCTGAGCCTCCTCCACAGCACAGGTGGAAAAACTCCTCAGCTCCGTCATATATTATTTTTCTGTGCTCTCGCCTTCTTCACCATCAGGTTTCACACTTTTCTTACTCCCTCGTTCATTCCAAATATAATTTTAACAAACAGCGCAGCTGGGTGGGTTCAACTCTCAGAAGTTTTAATTAATACGCCGGCTTCCTATTGTGTCAGGAGTCCCAGAGGGGAGGAGAGACAGGTAGAGAGAGGGCGAGGCGTGGAACAACACCACGATAAGAAAGGGTACAGGTCTAGGAGACAATGGGGAAGGTGGGATCGGGGCCACGAGGGAGCCCTGGGGCCAAGGGTACCAGCTACCTGTCATGAATAAATCAATCTCCTACAGCTCACTCCAGTGAATTCATTAGCAAGTGCAGCTCCTGCAGCCTCGCACGGCAGATATTAATTAATTAACTAAAAAAGGTGAGATTGGATTATGCTCCGAAATAAACTCCACAGCTGGAGAGGAACTGACAAAACAGACTGAAGGTTTGGTGTCTTTGTTTCATCTTTTGAAGACGATTCATTTCTTGATAGTAAGAAATCAAACAGTTGGGTTTCTTTGGAAAGTTGTTAACCTTTAACCTTATACAACGTTTTTTTTTAACACTTACCCTGTGGACAGCTTGTTCTCAGCCGTGGCGGTCAGTCGTGTTGGGCGGTATAATGGTATAAACCGTGTGATGGTATAAATGTGTACTGGTAGAAATTTTGCTGTACCGTTTATACCGTAGAGAGAGAGAGAGAGAGTAGATGTCTGCTGCATCTATCTGAGTCAGTGTGTAGATGTCTGCGCTCGCTAACAGGAAAGCCGGAGCGCATCCATTTGGGTGCGTTTCTGTATATTCACCAGCATGTCATGCAGAGTTTGTTCACTCCGTCCGATTAGTCAGGTTTGGGTGCACTCCCTATAATCACCAGCGTGTCCAGCAGACTGCTTGGCATAGTTTCAACGAAGAAGAAACAGCTTCACTGGTGGTGGTCATGGCGGACGTGGAGATTAGTGGCAGTACCGAGCAAACGGAGGCAGCCCGACCCACCCAACACGAGGAAGAGGAGGAGGAACTCATTCCAAAAGAGGTTGCGAGACGCGACATCGGTTGTCTGGAGATCTTTGTTCATACTGGGCCAACACCTCTTTGTGCAGCTTGGGCAATCCTCATCCCTGCCTCTGGGTCGCCCAACATGGTGGATGCAGGACCAGCACCGACACGCTGCTTATTGGTGGAGTTTGGGACGGTTCTTGACCCGCATGTGGTAAAGGTCATGGTAGGCACACATTAAGATGATAGAGATATAGATGCCACTCATTAGGGTTGAGGTTCAGAGTCAGTCAGGGCTGGATCAGGACAAGAGAGTCCCACCTGACGGATGCTGCAGACATCTCATTGTACTCGATTCTTCCCTGAAACAACAAGGATCACATTAAGCAAATGAGCGTGGACTGAGCGGAGCTTGAAAATACCATAAAAAGAGTTTTACTTGTTTAGTCCTCCTCTGTAGATGTGATGGTGGAGAAAAGTACAAAAATGACCCTTAAAAACCCACAAACCAACTTCTAAACTCAAATCTCGTTGGACTTCTCAGATCATTGCACAGCCAAACTTATTCCCAGCCTCCCTTTTTTCGCTGACCACTGCGGATGGATTAATGAGCGTGGGATCTTAGGAATGTTAATTAATTTGATTGTGTGCACAGAGGGGAGGGGTCTATGCTTAGGTGGGTGTGTGTGGCTTTGCTGGGGGGGGGGGTTGTGGTTTTATCGGGGGATGGAGTCGGGGGGGCTGGAGAAAAGCATTCTGCAGAAGATGAATTGGTCCTCGGGTTTGAGCTGCTGGCAGGCCGGCTGTGGCTGGTCTTAATATATAGCATGTGCTGCCACATAGTCAATGCGCTTTTAATTCACCTCTTACTACACACACACACGGACATTAACGCTCCTGTATGCACACACACACACACACACACACACACACACACACACACACACACACACACACACACACAGCACATGGGGCGTTTATTACCCCTTTTACTAATGGAAATCTAATCATTACTCCACCTGCTTCCTCGCACACACACACACACACACACACACACGCACACACACGCAGCTCTGGAGTTTATTTATCAGTGATATCCCCTGGTGTATTAATAAAGACCACAGGGGGCGTTTGCATGCTTATGAAGTCTCCCAAACTAATTGTATTAACCGACCTGAAGAGGAGCTCATGATCCTGACCTCAAGATGTTTATGACCCGCCGATCAATCGACCTCTCGCTCGCTTTTTCTCTGATTTTTCTCCTCCTCCGTTCACCTCCTCCGGTCCATCACTCCGCCTCAGTATGTTTTGGTGCGCTTAAATCATCCCTGCAGCGTCTCTGTCTAATTACCATCATCATTAAGATACTGTATATGATTGAGCCTTGACCGTAAAAACACACCAGTAAAATGGAGAGGAGCAAACAAACATGAGCTTTACTGCTCCGGCCTGGCTGTGCTGATAGGAGACAGCAGTTATGGCCATTTGGTGTCTAATCCTCTGACATTTTCATTTCATATTTAATTGCACTCCGGTGATTATGGCACTTATGGTTTTATTTTGCATTTATCTAATGGTTCTCTGGTGGCGTGGTGGTGACACTTTTTATTTTATTTGATGCTCAATCAGGCTGAATTTACTGTCTTTCTGCAGAATGAACATCATTTAGGCCGAAGGACGGTCGCTTCTTAAGTGAAAGTGTAGCTGTGTGATCATGCAGTTAAAGCAGATGGATATATATTCACATTTTAAACTTAAAGACTTAACTTCGGTTAGTTTGTACATCATAAAAAAGAGGCAATCAAAAGAGGATGTTTGGGAAACCCCAGAAAGGTTTATAAAATAAGAGTTTTAATTAGCTTTGCATGAGTTACAGCTCAAAAAACACCTTAATAATCTTAAATTGGTCATGAAAACTCTCATTTTAACACAATTTCAGTTTTAATCACGTATAATACTAATAAACTTCAGTTACAAAAAACCTTTGAGAAACCAGGTTACTTTACAGACAAAAATTATAAAATCACAAAAAGGTGAGATTAAGATATAACACACAATCTAAAGAACTTTACGGAAGTTCAAGTGAAAATTGAGATCATGGACTCAGCTGATTTGATCTTCTCAGGTACATCATCTGAAGGTTTTGGAGCCCTTTGGCTGCTTTACCGCTGATTTAAAGTGAGATTGTGCTTGTGGGTGTTACTTCTTACACAGTTTAGTAAACAGGAACTAATCTAGAAGTTATGCCAATTTAGTAAAAGTACGGAAATGTTTCCTCCACTGATTGTGGTGAATTTTTTGGACAGTACAGCCTTCTTTAAGGGCGTTCAGGCTCCGTTAACATTAAAGGTCGACTACAAACGTTGGAGCGTTATTTCAGCTACTGTATTTTTCAGGCGATAAAGCGTACTGGATTATACAACGCACTGTGAATTGGCGCATTGATTGGTTTATTGTTGCTAGTGCGTACTCCGGGACGAGCTGCCTTACATGAATGCATGTCTAGTTAAGACATTATTGTCAGGCAGTCTTGTAGTCTGCTCAGGGATTCTGTTACGGTGCTGATCAGGTAGTGACACAGCGTACCGTAATGCTCCGAATATCCATTGAGCGGAGTGGCTTCGTTGCTCACCAAAGTCATACTTACACATTTCGATGGATCTTTTAGCGTATTGTACCACATACAAAACGGTCAGTAAGCACAAAAAGTAATCATACATAAGGCACTATGGATTATAAGGCGCACTGAGAAAATTTAAGGATTTTAAGTGCGGCTTATGGTCCAAAAAATACGATAATCAGATTTACTTTAACTCCTAAAGAAACCCAAAATAAGTGGTATTTTTAAAATATAGTTTTAACTTTAAACTGTTAATTGTGGTTAACAGTGTTAATTTTGTAGATATATAACTGATAATAACTCAGACAAATATGGGTTTCCTTTGTTAGCAAGACAAGGTGACAGCTAGAATTCAACCCGGTAACAAAGACACAGACGGCTACCGGGTAAACAGCTCTGTGTTCTGTTTCAGAGACATGTTTGAGAGCGCAGTGAACTTTGATCCATCCATCATGCTTTCAGAGGCATTTCTTGGACTTGAGGACATCTAGGGCAGAGCCTGGACCCTCCATCCTTAATCCACAAAAAGAAAAAGTCAAAGAAGCTGTTGACGCCAAATAAAGAGTGATATTGTCTCTTGAGTTGGAGTACGGATCAACGAACAAGGACAGTGAAAGTTAATGACGCACGTTTGTTTAAAGACAGAAAATTGTTCAGACTAAAAGTAGAGACTGAAATAATTGGACTCCCTGACGACTAAACGACCCCAAACATTGATTCTATAAAATCACATAAGACTCATATGTCAAACTATATATCCTAACGTATATATGTGTGGTCTTCCCTAAACTCATCCCAGCACCAGTTAAGTAACAGGCAGGTGTTTCCTCTTCTACTCACCCAACATCCTCTGACAGACCTGTCACCATGGAGACAGCCAGTTTGTGTCATCTCGGAGACGAGGCCGGGCTTCGCCAGGACAGCGCCTGTCACAACCGCCCAGCGTCCCTCGAGCAGCCGAGCTCGCAGTCAGAGCCGATCGCGGGGCGGCGTGTCCGGCAGTCAGCTGCAGTCTGCGAGAACAGACAGGTGGAGGAGAGGAGGAGAGCAGACAGGTGGAGGAGAAGAGGGAGATTAGAGTAGGTGGGGGTGCAGAGCAGGTAGACTCTTATTGTTTACCAAAGGGAGTCATTAAAATACTCCTCCGTCTCTTTATTGTTGTGATTTGTTCGCTCGTATTTGTTCAGAGGAGGGTTAGTCTCTATTGTTCATCATGAGGCCTGACGCTCTGATCACCTCCTCTCTCTGCTGTCCTGTCGAGGAGGAGACGCTCGCTCAGTGACAGCTCCTCCTGTTTTATTAATAAGCAGACAAACAGCTCGTCTATAGGATGGGCCATTACCCTTTTTTGTGTTTCACACCTCTTTCTTCTTCTTCTTTTTACCCCGTCTTTGTGAGAGCAGAGGAAAACAAACTCTCCTGATCGTAGCCTGAATAAGAGAAGAAAAGGAGCTGACAGATTTTTGGACAAATAACTCCACAGTTTCTGTCGAATGTAAGTGACGATATCTCTAATAACTCCAAAACCAGAAGTGTGTGGGTCTTTTTCTTTCTGAGCAGGATCTTTAAAATCACCATGTGTTTTTTCTTCTCTTATAAAAATTCACATTTATCATTTAACTTTTATTGGCAGTCAAACTGTCGAAGTTGTATTCACTCGACTTCTTTTCTTCATCACAGTGATGCACATTTGGATGATGAAGTCAATGCAAAAGTCCAAAAAAGGTGTAATTCCTGGAGTGCCCACTAGAGGCTGGCCTCAAAAGCCAAGGATCCCACATACACACCAATTCAAAAAAAGGTAAAAAACTAAATAAATAAACATATTAGCAAACTGGTCCTTGTAACAGTTTCAGACTGAATAGCTCTTTTGTCTCCTTGTGACAGGGTTAAATTTTATTCTGACTTATTAGTTTTTACAGAATCATAGTTACAGGTTCTGACTTACGACTAAATTCCACAGGATACAGAACAGCTGCACTACACCCGGGAACAGCAGCCTGATCAAATACACAAGGATTAAAATCAACGTGCGTGATTCCACACAGTCCTGCTCCGCTGCAGATCGGCTCTGGCAGTTGGGATCAGATAAGCAAGGCTTTTATTTTTGCCGGACGCCGCAGCACAACGCATCAATTCAGTGCAGCACAAGCGGCAGTGGAAGTTGAGTGCGGCTAAAAATATCTGGTTGATTTTCAAAATAAAATAAAGTCAGTTTGGATTCGGTGGGCGCTGTATCCTTGCGTTTTTGATCTGCCTGCCGCTCCGGAGTGTAGTGTAACAGATCTGCATGCGGTGGAATCCTGACGTTAACCAACGTGTGCAGATTGTAGGTGTTAATGAGGAGACCAAAGTCCTGCCTAAACTTCACCTCTTTGACTCTTGATGGGTTGATCTAAGCTCAGGTTGTGTCTGTGTTTCAACATGAGGATGGCTGTTGACTGACTGACGTAACAGAGACTGGCAGCCTTCCTAAAACTGCATCTCTGCCGTATTGAGTGTGATTGTGTGTGGTGTGAGAGTGGGCTGTTAACATCCGGGAGACGACTTGCAACAAAAGGGAGCAGGGAGTTGAGACCACCTGGCAACCAGCTCCCCAGCATGTGGTAAAAAAGCGGGGACTCTTCTGACTTGAGAGGGGTCACGAGTCTTTGGATAGACTGACAGACTTGCTGAAAGGTTTTTCAGAGCGCTGCCTCCTCCTGTACTCAGTCTGGTCCTTCAGTTTGACCCAGATGAGTGTTTTTATGAAGGTTTTCTTTGTGTTGGAGGGATTATATAATGACCAAACAGAGGAGATAATGATATATGATTCACACATGTCACCTGTGTTCCCCCCTGTTCCTGCCGTGTGCCTCTAATCAATGAGACCCCCCTCCCCTCCTCACTCATCTTGTGGGCTGTTGCCCTACATCAGCGCTCAGCCGCATGTCTGCAGAACTTGCTCTAAACGCTCTGTAAGCACTTTATCACAAACGCTTGTTCTTTTGGTCTTTTTCTGCTTTCTTGTTGTTTTGTTTTTCTTCTTCCCCCGTCTCCCTCCCTCCCTCTCTCCCTCCCTCCTTTTAAAAATAAAAAAAGAAACCTGCATCCTGACGCTCATTAAAAGAGAAAAGAGGAGAAAAACATCAAGAGAGTGAAGCGAGGCACTCTCAGCTCGCCTCTCTCCAACCTGCGGTCACGTTCAGCCGTCACGGCGCGGCTTTGTGCGCTTGTTATCCGCATCAGACCGCCTCTGTTTTCTATCAGCCGCCACCGCACATAAAGACGATCAATTATGGATCAAATGAGAGCCTCTTTTTTAATTCAGCGCCGTCTTTCCTTCATGCAGGCAGAGGCCCTCCACGGCGCGCTCCGCTCCACAGTGGGAACAGTCGCAGGAGGGGAATCCACAGGGTCACATGATGCCTACAGCTGACAGTGAGGTGTCCAGGGTCAAAGGTCAGAGACACGGTGAAAGTCCTGATCAGTCCAGATGTTTTCCTGCCTTCTTCATGGTTTATTTTCTGATGTCTGGAAAAATGCCGACCAGTCGTAACCGTCTCACAGTCTTCATCAGGTCTTGGTGACAAACAAAGATAATTAAAAATGAAAGAACAGCTGCAGAATTATTTTGGCCTTTAAGTGAATTTTTACATTTTCTATTTTTTATCTTTTAATTGAATTACTTTCTCTTCTTTTATTTATTTTTTAATCCCTTTTCTTTCTCTTGGTATTTAATCCCTCGTTTATAAATTATAGTTTCAACGTTTCCTCCGTACTCCTGTCTTTCCTTCTTGTTAACCGGTTCTCTTTCTTCTCTCTCATCATTTCTTTGTCTTCTTATCTTTTCTTTTTCATCTTTTTTTTTCCTCTGAACATCTTCTGCTCCATTTTTATTGTTTTTTCTTCCATATGTGTTCATGTAATTTATCCCTGTTTTCCTCACTCATTTATTTATTTTCCCTCCATCTGTCTTCATCGCTTCATACTTCTCTTCCTCAGTTCTCAGCTCTCCAACTTTTATTGAAATCTCACCTTCTTTCTTTGTTCCTTTCTTCCGTCCTCCCGTCCTGTCATCCTTCTTTTCATTCTTTCTTTCTTTCTTTCTTTCTTTCTATCTATCTTTTTCCTTCCTCCCTTCGTTTCTTTTCTTCTTCCCTCCAATCTCTTTCATTCCCTTTTTCTTTCTTTCTTTCTTTCTTTCTTTCTTTCTTTCTTTCTTTCTATCTTTTTACTTTTTTCTTTCTTTTTACTTTTTTCTTTCTTTCCTTCTTTTTTAACTTTTTTCTTTTTACTTTTTCTTTCTTTCTTTCTTTCTTTCATTCATTTTACATTCTCTTTGTTTCTCTTTTTTCTTATTTCTTTATTTTTTGACTTTCTTTCTCTCTCTCTGTCTCTTTTTCTTTCTTTTTCTTTCTTCCTCCTTCTTATCATCCTTTCTCCCTGTGATGTTTTTCCTTCCTCTCCTCTGTTGTTTATTTCTCCCCCTCTTTTACAAACCTCATCTCTTTATTTCTCCTCTTCTTTCTGACATTTTTTACACCACCTCTTTTCTTTTTTTCTTCATCTTTGTTCTTTTACATCCTTTCCTTCTTTTTGTCTCTCAATATCTAAACTTAAACTTGTTATTACACATCCTAAGTGTTCAGAAACTTTTAAAAGTTCATTTAAGTTCATTTTAAATTTCATGAACTTGACCTTTAAATCTGATGGAGAATTTTCAGTGATAAAAACAAAAACGTAAAACCCACACTCTCTCTTTCTGTGTGTGTGCGTGTGTGTGTGTGTGTTATCTCTCCAGCTGTTTCAGTCAAACAGAAGATAACAGTATAACGTCATCCCCTCTTCTTCCGCCTCTCCCCCTCCTCTTATCCCCTCCATCACTCTCATTCATAATTTATCCGGAGGCTGAGTTTTTGCCGACACACTCCGGCGTGGCGGTGAAAACACTCTCTCCAGTTTCACTCGGGCTGCGTGCTGCGTGGCCACTTCCTCCTGCAACAGGAAGCAGGTGTCGATAAGTACAGGAAGTGAAAACTGGCACCGGCCTCAGGTGAGTCTGTCCTCTTAGGTGTTAGATATCCCTTACCACACACACACACACACACACACACACACACACACACACACATACACACACACACACTGCTCAGCGTTAAAAGCACACACATCTGAACGGTCTGCTTTTTATTCTTCTCGTATATTTTTGTTTTTTCTCCGGAAACTTAAATTTTTTAAACTTTGTTCTGATTTTTTCTTATTTTTTTTCATTGATTTATTGTCGAAAAAAATAGTAAAGCTGTTAAAAATATGTAAGCACTTTGTTAAAATAAAATCTACCGTTAAAATAAAATATAAAATAATAATTGTTTTGGACCTTTAATGAAAAAAAACAAGTTTAAAAAAAAAGAGACAAAGTTTGTTTTATATTTGATGCTTTCTCATCTTTTCTTTGCTTGTTTTTACATTTTTCATTCCCATCTTTTACATTAATATCATTCCTGCTTAATTTGCCATCATATTTCTATTATTTTCATATTAATTTTCATGATTTCTTCATAAAATTTGTAAAAATATAGAAAGAAAATCCTCAAACTTGACGAAAAGTAACTTCTGAACCTGACATAAAGCTGTTATTCGTCCACAGAAACACCTGACGGGCGGCAGCAGACAGGTGAGCGCGTCCTCTTCAGTGTTGAATATCACTTACCTGTGAGCTTGACTCCGGCTGCAGTTTACAAATCAATCACAGGTGGAAGAAGTCTCCGTTAACCCTCAGGTGTCACACAGGGGACAAAATAGAAAGGTGAGGGACAGAAAAGCAGCTGAGCACGATCATTATTCAGTTGTTTCTCTACACTTGAGTTTGCATGAAAAATATGCATCAAGACTTTTTGCTTGATGTCACTTTTCACCTCAAAATCACAACATTTTAAAAAACACTTCTTTTTTGGGCATTTTAAGGCAGCCCCTTTTTGCTTTTTTGACATATTTAGGAGTCCAAATGACCTTTTGAACCAAATACTGTGGAACTGCTGCATTCAATGGAGGTCAATAAACAGGTTAAACCATCTGACAGGTTCAAACAGGTTAAACGGGTTCATATTATTACTCAGAGGATCCTGTCTGAGATTGTGCTGAATGTTTTAGAGCATGATCGCTTTGATTCCACCAGACTTCACAAACAAAAACAAGTCATTTTAACTCTACTGCCACCAAACTCTGTTAGTTTGTGATTTTTGTGTCTTTATTGGCAGGTTTGAAATTCAGGATTCGTCATAAAACTGCAACAAAACCTTTAAATTAAGGGAAGTCTCATGTTAAACTGGTGTTGTTCAAGGTGAAATGACAACAAAGTTCATGCAGACGAGGTAGAGAGAGATGCAAACTAACCCACACACCTGTTTGTCCCTGTTTCTGATAAATAACTGCCATGAATGAAGGTTTTATTTTCATCTTTCTTAAATGCTTTTAGCCTCATTTTACGATCGTAGTCTCTCTGCAAAAGCTTGAGTACAAACCTGTTATAGACACAATTCAGGCGAGTGTTTTTGGCTAAATCTATCGACTCTTGTGCATGTCAGAGAGACTTGAACCTGCAGCAGTCAGAGCAGGATGATTTCCCCTCCCTGTTATTTCTCCACACTGACAGGATAAATGTGTGTGTGTGTGTGTGTGTGTGTGTGTGTGTGTGTGTGTGTGTGTCACGTCTGAATCAGACAGGATGGATTTCTGTATTCTGTGATATTCCTGCGTGGCTGCAGCTCCTCCTGAGGGAGCGTTAGTGTGAAAACAGGGCCGGATCCCTGAGAGGGCTGTTAGCGAGCGGTTTCAATTAAAGACGGGAGTGAGCTGCTGCAGAGACACAGAGCAGGGAGAGAGGTGAATACAAGCTTTTCTTCTTATTATTAATAAGAAAAGCCAGGAGTTCATGTGGCTATACGTGCAAAGAAGGAGTCAATCAATCAGACTAAAGAAGAAATGTTTGTGTTTTATTCTCGTTTAATGGATTTAATTTATATAAATGCTTCTTTAATTCCAGTATAAATTGTAAAATTCATAATTCAAAATTAAAATGCATTGTGGGTTTTACCTCCTTAACATTTCAGTTCCTTTGTCATGTGGTGTCAGTATATTGTAATCCCTGTTGTCAGACTGCGGTTTGGGATCATATGAAGGTCTTCTCTGGAAAAGTCATAGTCAGGATTTCAGCAGATGTTGCTCCTAAACCTGGAGATCTTGTTCACATTTGTTATGTTCAGGAAAGTTTGTACAGATGCAGTGATGAACTGTGTTCACATGACAGTAGATTTTGAGTCAGTGCGGTGATTCTCACTACAGAGTCTTGTCTGTTTTTAATGTGGGGCTGAAGATCAGGACCATACAGTCTTGGTTTTGGTCCTCATCCTTTAACTTTTCTGGTGTTTTGTTGTCCTTTTCTTGACTTTTTGACACAAATTCTGGCATCAAATGTAAAGAAGAGTTTTGATTTTTTCAATAAACTGGTATTATTTGTTTCAGTGTTGGTTAAATGTTTACTGTTGTCAATTAAATGTAGGGTTTGAATGATTTTCAAACAATTATAATCTGCTTTTATGAGCATTTTACACAGTGTACCAACTCTCATGGGGCGCTCACACCAAGCTCAAGTAAAATCATCTACTCGCCTAATTTGTGCGAATCTAGATGCGTGAATGAATAGTATTTACTCGCTCAATTCGCGTGTCAACGGTAGATTCAACGGTAATCCCTGCCAATTCAACCGGCAGGATCAAGTGATAGACAAAAGTTTTTTACAATTTACCAGGTAATCCGACCTCCTCACTCACTTACCTCCAGACGAGCTCCTTAAAAGAAAAGCTACCATATAATTCAGGGCACCCACACACCGACACGATCAGTTTGTCCCCCATTTTAGACGCCAGTGAACAACCGTTCGTTTACATACATCAGCCGTCAACCTTCGTGCTGATTGGTTATCGCAACGTGATTATCCGCTCAAGTTGAGACACGTTCAGAGTAGTACGAGCGTCTAATCGCATCTTCGCATTGACTTAACATGTAATTCATTCGCGCAAATGATTTTACTCACGCTTGGTGTGTGGAGACAGTTAGAGAATTAAGGTAGTAGTAAGTCACTTTAATTTCATATTCATAGTTAGAGTGTCGAGCTTTAGGGATTTCTCCATTTACATACAAACCTTTACCTGTAAATATGGTCATTCAGGTGCCGCTGGGACTTTTCTTTGTCGAAGGTGGTCTCCATCACAAAAATGTTAAAATTCTGCATGTGGACAGTTTAATTAGCAGTCATTGGGGTATATTTGAATCAAGTTATAGGTTGAAGATGTGGCCTGTAATAAAGCAAAGGTCAGAGACTCTCTCCCCTCTGGGAACCATCGATACTGTTAAGAGAGTTTGGTGAAAATCTGGCAGGAAGTTGTTGAGATATGATGCTGTAAATTCGAAGTATCGCCATGATTATTCAGACAGCAGAGACACTCAGTGACTGAACAGCAACCCCAGTATGGAGGAAAGAGTTTACAGCTTCCTCTGACGGAGGCCGGGGGTCTTAAAAGTAAAGTGAAATAAGTCTTTAGACCTGACATGACCTGCTCTCTGCTTCCCAAGCATGCAACACCTCTCTCTCTCTATCCTCTCTCTCTCTCTCTCTCTCTCTCCCTCTCTCTCTCTCTCTCTCCCTCTCTCTCTCGTTTTCTCTCTGGTCGTGGCAGCATTCCCAGGAGACAGTTTTCCGTACGGTTTTCCGTGAGCAGGATGAGATGAACTCCACATCTCTCACCCGTAAAGAGACGGGGCGAAAAGCAGCTGCCTCAGCACCTGCCGGCCCCCAGTGAAAATCAAAATATCAATAAGCTCTTATAGCATTAAGGAAAATGCCTAAATCTGACACTTTCTCTCCCTCCTCTCTCCCTTTGCCAATATCACTCAACCACTTACACTTGGCATGGGCCCACTGGAGAGTTTTACATGTACATTAAGAGAGGCTTTCTGCCTCTATTTGTCCTCCTCCGCCTCCGTCTCCTCTCCACTATATCTATTAAAGTAAATATACTCCGGCTGGGCGGTGACACATAGTCCATCCTCATTCATTTTTGAGCAGGTGATTGACAGGACTTGAGTTATCGCTGCAGTTAAAGAAGAAGACCGCAGAATCGGATCCCCGTGCCAGTCTCATAATAATGTTAACGTTTTATTACGGGAGGGGAAACAACACGACTGGTTGCTCCGTTAGAATAAGGTGGAGATCGGTCATAATCTGTAAGTGTAAAAGCTCCGACCCTCCTCGGGGAAAAAAGTGCCTCACCAAGGGAAAAAGGATGAAGATATGATCCGCATAAAAGGTCTGGAAAAGTGGGCCGAATAAGCAAAAAGAGATATGAGAGAGGAGCGAGAGGAGTTTAAGTAGGGAGTAAGGTGTTGGAGGGAAGGATGGCCTAGGGCAGGAAGTGGATAAAGAGAGGAAGAAGAGAGGGATGCAGGGCAGAGAGAGAGAGAGAGAGAGGTGGTAAAGCTGAATGATTGCTCTGTGAGAATTATTATTGATGATTCAGGCGGTGTGAATTATTAATGGGGAACGAAAAGCATCTTTGAACGTGTCTCTGACATTCAATACTGACAGAGATCAATGAGCTGGCGTGGACGTGGAGAGGAGGGATGGAGGGAGGACGGCAGAGGAGGAGGAGGAGGAGGAGAGGAAAAATGAAAAGGAGAGGAGAGGAGGAGAGGAGAGGAGGAGAGGTGTGTTTGGACAAGTGGAGTCCTTCAGATGAGGAGGGGGGCTTGTCAGAAAGACTTAGAGAGGAGGACGGCTGACGAGATGGCTAACTGCGGGGAGTCATGTGACACTGTTGAAGGTGATTGGCTGTGACATTGTCTTGGGTTTAATGCTCCTCCTCAGACGTAGGAAATAGCAGAGCAGCTCCTCCTCCTCCTCCTCCTCCCCCCGAGTCTTGGAACCTGTCTCGAGTCCCCGTCTGACACGACACTCGCCGGCTATCTGTGTGAGGAGACTTTCTTCAGCTTTTGTCCGAGTCTCGAGTGTCAAGTCTTGTCAAGTCTCAGTCCAAGTCTTAGTTGAATCCAAACTGTACCAGCATTTTAGTCGAGTCAAATTTTAAGATTTCAGAGTTTAAGTCCAAGTCAAATCCAGTCTCAAGTCACCGGACACAAATTAGAGTCAAATCTGAGTTAAGATCTCATTATTTTTACTTAATATTATATTTTTCATCATTACCTGTCATGTGGAAAACCTTCAAATCGCCACCATTTTGTGTGTTTGTTTGTGTGTGTAGTGGCGGGGGGGGGGGGGGTCAGCAGGTCACACAGGAAAGACTGATCTTAAAGGACGGACTGCCACGGCCACTCAACCGCTGTCCATAACACAAACACACACAAATACATGTACACACACACGCACAATGACATGACATGGACGTTGCCGGGGCCGACACTAAAAGGGGACAGAGCTCAGCTTCTATCGTCACGGTAACAGGCTGATGGGAAGACAGACAAACTCCAGCCGCCACACCTGATCATGTATCCAGACTGGAGGTCCTCTGAAACCACACCGAGCGTTCACTTTCTTTTACTGTCACACACACACACACACACACACACACACAGATGCACAGTCAGTGTGAGTTTGTTTGTGTGTTTTCAGTGAAGTCTGACACACAAATCTGAACATACCGCTCAGACACGTCTGTTCATGCTGAGATCCTGGATCATGTGGAGTGCACTGATTCTTCTGGGGGGCTCGCCAAATTTGTCTTGGAGTTTTTCTGCCTCTACATTTATTTAAACCAGTCTGAACCCTCGCCCTTAAGACTTTAAGGGACAGACCCAATTGTCACTTTTACCCCTTCCCCTTTGTCTACCCCTTACCCATGGTCCTCTGCTTTGAGGGCTAACGAGACGCCACTCGATTCCCTATATGTCATCATGCCTTGCCACTTGCTGGCTGTGTCGTAGGTTGATGCAACAATACTGGTAAACAAGTCAGAAAACAACCTAATGTTGTAACATTTAATTGTTGTTAGCTGTTATTTGCAATGGCAGTCTGATATCAGTGTAGCTATAGCTTTGTTAGCTCGCTCATCATAACACGAGATTTTTAAAACATAGCTAATATCAGGTGACCATATGTCCTCTTTTACCCAAACATGTCCTCTGTTTAGGGGGACTGTCCAGCCTTGTCCAGGGGGAGTTTATAAAATCCTTCAAATGTCCACGGTTTTGTATGTAAGTTTTGAGTTTGTGTAGCGTGGACTAACTGAGTTAGAAGCGTGTAAAAACACTCGACCCGAAAAACCCTCAAAATGTTGCGCGTAACTCCGCCCCACGTAGTAGTGTCCTCTTTTTGGGGATTCAGAATATGATCATCCTACCTAATATTTACGTGGAGTACCAAAGGATTGAATATCTGATTAAAACATACATGTCATTACTTTGAAAATTATATCAAAATCATAACTGTGGCTTTCAACTGAGGTCCCGGTTTGTCATTTCGAGGGATGTGTACCCCTTCTCCTAACCTTACAGAGAATTGGGACACTCCTTAGCTTGACATGAACGCACAAAACCAAAGGCTAAGAGGTAGAATTGGGATTTGCTCTAAATCAGGCATAACATCTCACTATTATAGCGTCTCCACCCATTCAGATTACCGCATTGATAATGAGAAACTAAGAGATCCTCCTCTGAAGCTGAATTCAAAAAGAAATGTAGATTGTAGTTATCCCTCTATTGTTGGGTCAAAAATATCTAGTCCAGTAAATGGGTTTGTGAACTTTTACCTTCAATATGACTCTCACATTTATTTCTCATTGGTCTAAAACTGGCAGGTCTGCAATCATCAAACTATATTTCTTTCACTTCTTGCTCTCCATCCAAGTCACGCAGTTCCCATAACAAGACGAGCCTGAACGCTGACTCTTCTGATTTCCATGAAGTGAGAGCAATGTGAGTAAAATCCAATTTTTTCTTTTTGCACCAGATCCAGCATGTCATTTAATGCATCTGTGTTTGATCAGAGCTGCTGTCTCAGTGTGTTTTCTTATTATCAGAGTATTGTAGAAACCAGAGACTGATCTGTTTAGGCTGTGGAGTCAGAGCAAAAAGGTAAATGTACTTTAAGATTAAAAAGTTTCCACAAATCTCTGAATTTCTGCTCATTGACTGGATAATGATGGATTTGTCCGGTTAGTTTATTGATGATTAGATCTATTCTGCAGCACCACCTGACTGCTGGTAAGTGTTTTAATTTCAGAGATATGGTAAAGAGCTTTTCTTAATGTATGATTATGTTTGGTTTACTGACCAGAATCCCTATTTTTGAAGGTTCACATGGACAAATCAGCCAGAAAACCTTTGCAAAATCAACACTTTATATGTTATTTGAACTTTAAGAAAAACTTAAAATGGATACAAAGAAAAAAATCCTTAAAATATAGTTAAAAAATACTAAAACTAGTCCTGCATGAGTCTCTTAATCCTCACAACTCTGGTTATCTGTTCTCCACGTCTGAAGGTGAAGCACCTCTACCATCCCCTTCCTGAAACTACATCACCTCCTGTCCGGTCTCCCCCCCTCGCCCCGTGTCTGCCGCTCTCTGTCACCTCTGAGCTTTAACACAAAGGGACATGTACGATTGACCCGGCTCGAAAGCACTAACAGACTGTCTGGACCCTTTACAGCCAGTAAAGAGAGACGGACTATTAACCTCCATCACCCCCTCCTCCCTCACCTCTCGCCCCTGTCACTCTCCCCTCTGTCCCCCTCTCGGCTCCACCATCACTACCTGGAATTGGCTGGGGGGGTTAAGAGCGGGTTCATGTGACATGTCGCCCCGGTGGTTTTATAGGCGTGTAAGGCGCTGGCCATCGCTCGCTCTCAGAGTACTCAGTTATTGGATTGATACGCCCGCTGATACACGAGCGGAGCTGGTGATACACAGTGATGCTACCAAACACTCACATTATATTGTCGGAGTGAGAAATGGTGATGGCGGGAGAAAGAGCACAGGGTCATTGTGGTATGATGTGGTCAGGCTGTACGGATGAATCACAGAAAACCAGAAGTGAAATATAGTAACATGTTCTCTTCAATCACCAGAGTCTTTGACCGTTAAAACATCAGCGTGGCACATACAAGACTGTTCGATCAGGTTGGATGTAAGAATATACAAAATTCAGTCACAGACTCTCAGAATAAAGAAGTTTAGCTTGTTATGTTTAATAAGAAATATCCAATAATGCTGCAGAACTGTTCCAGTTTGATTCTGTTTAGGTTACAAAAGTCCCTTCAGGTCAAATTAGTCTGGTCAATGAATGTCATATGTACATTAAATCTATTACCCTCATATCTGACTTTTTCTTCACTTTTTTAAAAACCCTTAGACCAGTCAGTTAGTTGAAAATGGAGTTTCCCACCAAATGAAACTGTAATTAACTTTCTATCCATATAAAACCTTATGATATAATATAATATGAGCTGATGTCAACTGATGTGATACCAAATAATGACATGCAATATAAAATCATATATGAAAGGATAAAATACAATATGGCAAATTATTTATTTAATGTTTATTTAACAGGGACAATAAATACAACATACAGAAAATGGAAAATGTGATGCATACAAGATGTCTAGCTTCAGCTAATTAGCTAATCTTTGTCCCTGGTCAGGCTTTAGAGTAGGATAAAATATATCGAATACTATAAATACAATAATACAAATACAGTGGATAATACAGTGAATAGCTAGGTGACATAAATAAATAAACACAGCTACAAAAATAAGATTGAATAATTACACAAGTTAAATTTAACATTACAATTAAGAATACAAAATTACAACAATATGAGATGCTATTGTAATACACTAACAACAGGATACAATACGATTCAATATGTTACAGTGACAGGTTCAGTGAACAAACTGAGTAAAAAACTGATAATTGAAGACAGTGTTGATAAACGAAGCCTTGTGTTTTTGATGATAGACTCTGGTGGAAAAAAAACATCGAAATCTTGGATAGAAATATCTTCTCTGAAAGGATCCGCTCTGTCATATTGTCAAACACTTAGAACAACAATCTTAGCCTGTCAGTGACATAAACAAGACCTTATAGTGGACCTACTTTGAATTAGCCCTCTCCTCTCATGGATTTCGTTGCAGTCATCAAACCCTGCCAGCTAATTAAGTCTTTTGGGGTGAATCCAAAACTTTTCGTACCTTTTTAGTTATTTAGACCCGAGGATAAGCATCAAGATAAGAGCTGAGGTGTTATAATGGTGGTTGGGTGTTACAGTGGTTATCGCTGTACAATCAAAGTCATATGTTAGTGACATCTGTCAGATCTGTTTGCTGTCATCTCGTGTCAAACATCTCTGAGACTCTGACCCTCTGTCTTTCACTAACTGCCTCCAGTTGAGGAGAGACAAATCGCTTCTCATTTGGAAGCAATTCTCAATATGCATCATTTGCCCTGTTCATGGGACACACACACACACACACACACACACACACACACACACACACACACACACACACACACACACACACAGTCATGCACACACAGCGACCAGCAGGAAAGAGTCAGAGAGGCAAACAGGGACCTCAGACAGCAGTGGAGAGTGGCAGAGGAGTCCCCATAAAGCCAAGGTTAATTCCTCTGCCTCTCCATCCATCACTGAGCAGCTGAGAGAGGGGGCTGAGGGGTGGAGTTGGGGCGGTGATGGACCACTTTCAGCCAAATATATATGTGAGGAAAGAAAGAGGAGGGGTGAGGAGAAATACAGTTGAGGGAGAGACGGGGGAGAGGAGGGTCTGCATCGCCCCATTGTCTCCCCAAGCACCCATAAAGGGCGTAGGAGGCGAGGGATCATAAGCCTCATTTGCCAGGAGTTATGGCTGCCAACAGAAGGCAAGTCGGAGCAGGAAGGCGGGCGGGCGGGCGGGCAGGACGGACCAATAAGTGCTCGGGATGTAGTTGTCGAGGTAACCGGCAGGTAGTGATGCCAGCGGGGTCACTGGGAGATCCTTGGTGGACAGCAGCCAGGACGACACGGGGCTGTCTGAGAGCACAGTAGAGACATCACTGTCACTGATGATCAATGGTCAGCAGAAAGGGGGAGAAGACGGGGGAGGGAGGGAGGAGAGGGGGAGGCGGTGGTTAGCCACGCACTGAGAGAAACAGGAAGAGTGATGAGGAGAGTGAGGTTTTTTACCAAGGAAACAAGAACCATGAGACCAAAACAGTCCGTGTATTTACTTACGTAAACATGAATTAATATTGAGACGAATGGAAGCAAAGAGTAAAATAATAGGTGTAATATTTTGTTTGCATTGTTTTATATTTGCATTAAACTCATTCATTCATGTATTTTATTTTGAAATAGCGTTATCGTTTATATGCGGCTCATTTCTATCAAATAAGTGAATTCAGGACATGACAGACTCACCAAACTCACATTTTCAAGTCTGTTTAAAGTTTGAGTTTAGCAGCTTTTTCTATTTTAAAGCATAAAAAAAGAAACATATTTAGGTGAGAGAGTCCATACCCAAGAGGTCAAGTTCAGTGACTCGAATTAGCTGAGCAGATCCAGCTTAAAATATGCATGACTTTGAACCTTGATGAAATTTAAATGGGCGGGTTGTGTAAAAATGTTCTCCATGTGCAGTTAGGATGGAGAGAAATTAACCAAACAAACACAAAAACCTTTAAATGTACCAGACTGTAAATATGAATCCAACTAAACTCTTTAATATAGGATCTAATGGGGATTGTCTCACTTTTGAGACCAGCATCTAGTGGTCATTTAAGGTACTGCACTAAATTTTCAGCCATTTGTGAAGCTGATCCTGCAGAGGAAGCACTGTAGATTATTTTAGGTCAGACAATACTCAGTGACTCCTCAGCTGATCGAAAGAGTTCTATTTTTTCCGGACGCCGGAGCGTGGCGGATAAATTCAGCACAGATTAACCCATGCTGGAAAGGAAGTCGGGGAAAGACACAAAATAAAACATCCGGCTTCTTTTCAAAATAAAACACTCCATGTTTCAGGAGGATTGTATTTCACACCATGCAAACGGGTGGAGACGAACAAGTGAAAGGTTTTTAGAGGTCATTTCACCCTGATGACACCATGGATGAGGAGATGATGATTCTAGAAGTCTAGAAGTAGATTTCCTCCTCTGGAAGGACACAATCTACTGCTTTTATGGTTAGCCTCTGTGGCTAAAGACAACTTGTTATCATGCGATTGCACGTGAATCCGCAGGTTCTTGTGCGTTCTCGCAATTCTAGCTGTCTGTAATCCGCCATGAAATTCGTCTCACAAATGGATATTGGAATTGGCGTACGGTGAAAATCGCGGCTGTTCTGGATTGGAGCCATTCCGGATGCGGCGAAAATTCCGGGTAAGAGACCGAGAAGAAGATTTGTTGGTTCTGAATGACAGCTGAATTATCTTCTAAATCAAAACTAAATCATATTAAAACAGCTTTTACTGACTGTGTATTTTAAATTTATGTAAATATTTGTGTTGGTTCTGTGTCCCAGTGGGGTAAAAACACGCCCCTATTAGTTATTATATCATATTTTTCTTCTTGTGTTGGGCAGGTGGATGTTATTAAAACCACGCTCCTCTCTCTCCCTCTCTCTCTCCCTCTCTCTCTCCCTTTCTTTCTCTGTATGTCTCATAGGGTCATTTGCCTGTTCAGATGAGATTGTAAGCTATAATGGAGGAGGTGTGGAGTGCTGAGACAAGGAGAAATGGCCCGGCGTGCAGATAGCAGATTTGATGGTTAGTCGATAGCTCTCCTCCTCCTCCGTCAGAGAGGGAGAGAGGAGAGCTGGGAGATGGGCATGCATGGACCTTGATATTATATGGGAAATGCATTATTTTTGAAGATTACCTGAAACGGTCTCAGAAAATCATTTTAGCATGAACTAACCTTGAACATTCCCATACTTATGTAAATGATCGCCATCAGTGGTAATCAATGGATGGGATAGCCTTGAGGGTTGAAATGTTACCGAGAACGTTTTCGATTTAAACGACGTTTCCTTGTCAGGTTGGTTATAAAAGCCGTGTAAGACAAGAGGAGGGTCACTTTGCTGCCAACCTTTTTTATGTCTTTCATAATGATCATTAAAAAAGGGGTTTGTTCAGTTGAAGACGTCTCCTTTATGTCAGTCTTCAGTGCGCAGCCTCTGAGTTTCATCCTGGAGTGAAAGGTAAATGGTTGGTCCAAATCCTGCAGAAACACTCAGACTGTTTCACATCTTACCTTTAAGTTCATGATCTCTGCAAATGTAAACAAATCAACAGATCTGCATACATGCATACTCTCACTGTCAAGAGACTTTTGCAAAAATTCTGCTGTGCAAAATCCACAAACATGTGTCTGTTTGCCCCGAGCTTAGACTTACAGGCTTACTGCACCTTAATTTAGTTAGTTCAAGCGAGTTTAGGGATCATTTTATTAACACACACGGTTTGTGACACAGTTACCCACTGATGTCACCTGTATGCTTGGCTCATAGGTCAAGTCAAGTCAGCTTTATTTATAGAGCACTTTAAAAACACACAAGGTGATAAGAAAAGCACATACACATTAAATACAGACTTCCTCAGGCATTGGCGGATGGAGTCATGGCTGAGAACTCCAACAACAACAGACAGCTGCATGTCCGCAGCTACAACAGCCTACAACATACACTCACAGACAGACACTGGTGGAAACTCAATCTTGAAGATGCACCCAGGAGGTATTTATAAGTAAAATGCTTAGTGTTATATCAATCCTCAAACATAGATGTGTAACGTAGCTAGCATAATAAGAAGCTAAGCTAGCTAACTAACCAGCGCGGGGCAACTTTTTCAAAAATCCATTAAACGTTTGTGTGTGGTTTTATAGCTATATATTTTAGAAGCGCTAAACTTTATTCGCTTAGCAGATTTCGTTCACATAATTGCGTCACACTCAGTGTGTACAGAAAAAATTTGCAGGCGAAATATTTGCCTATTCGCATCACTTATTTGCGTCGCTTCGCCTATCCCCCCTTTTGGATTGCTTCAAATTTGGCGCCCCCTGTGGACAAATCTTGCAACTTTAGGCTTTGTCTCATCTGTTGTGGAGAGTCAAATACTGTCTGTTTTCATCTGACACCAGCAGACCTTTGTACAATCGTGTTTTTCTGCTCCTGTCAGAAGCTGCAGCTGGAGAAGGAGAAACACTGTGAGCTGTCAGTGAACATCTAGATCCTTCCGTCATGTTGTGAGGTTTCCCTTTTGTCTGTTCTGACAGATCTGCTCTCCGAGTGGAGGAAGGACAAGGTGACACGAAACACCTGAGGGACGGGCTCGTCATCGACAACGACAGGAAGCATGAGTGACACCTGACACACGGCTGAACTCGAAGAGTGCTGTCTGCTGCTAACAGCCGCCTGAGAGGGCCGTGATGGACCAGAGCTGACACCAACACACGTAAAAACACACACACACACACACATGCACACACACACACATGCATGATAATACAGCCAAGGGCAGAGGGTAGACATGGCTCAATAACACCATTTCCTACTTTCACTCATACAGACCCTCTCATTATTGACTGATCCCTCATTATTTATTCAGTTAAAATAACAAGAATAAGGAAATTATTGATGCACTTAAACTGAGGGGTTATAATTTAATTCACTTTCTCATAACTTTGTGACCGACTCTCGGTGTGTCTCTTCATTTTTCATCCCCTTGGGGATGTAGTTGTGAATGACGGCTGTTTTCAGTCATGAGCGGCAAGTTTTGAAGTTTACCACATGGTTCCTAATGTTCCCCATAACCTCGATGAGCAGCAGGAGCCAGTAATGTCAACTTAAAGGGATATTCCGGCATAAAATTAACTTAGGGTCAAACACACTGTAACACCGAGTTAGACACCCCCTCCAGAGATGAATGTTGTTGACCGCTTGCTTCTCTAGTTATACCAACTTTAGTAACGACCGCAGGATAGAAATACAGAGAGACACATTCTCAACCAAAACGCCACTCTATAGCCACAAATAATGCTCAGAACAGCACCTTTTTATATGGAAGCCTGTTTCAGCCAGTAAAAAAACAAAGAGATAAAATGTCGTCTTCTATTTTTTAATTTTTGGGAATTCAGAATATGCGTTTAACTGAGTTAGAAGCACATAAAAAAAACTCTCCACCTGACCCGAAAAACCCTCAAAATTTTGCACACATGCGCACACTCTGCCCTGCGTAGCAGTGTCCTCTTTTTGGGGATTCAGTTTATGGTCACCCTACATGAAACTCAATTCTTTATCATTTCCTTGAAGTAATAATCATCATATTAATCATTTTACAGACGCGGTAGTTCTTCTGTCTTAGCGTCTCGGTCTGATTGTATTTCCATGAAGAAATGATCATAAATGTTCTTCCTTGAGCTGCGTCACCCCGCTGTAGTCTGTAATGGACTGGCCTGAGGTCTCTCTACAAACAAGCGGCTGCTGGAAGAGAGTAGGTGAGTTGTGTTTAGTCTCTTTGCTAAAGAAATGAGTCAAAGTTAAAAAGATGTTTGGTGTCTAGTACTATGTCTGTGACCCTATATGTCCTGTTGATGAAGTTAGGTGCTGTTCTGAGCATTATTTGTGGCTATAGAGTGGTGTTTTGGTTGAGCGTGTGTCTCTCTGTATTGCTATCCTGCGGTCGTTACTAAAGTTGGTATAACTAGAGAAGCAAGCGGTCGGAAACATTCACCTCTCGATGGGTTGACTAACTCGGTGTTACGGTGTGTTTGACCCTAACTTAATTTTACGTCAGAATATCCCTTTAATCCCACTTTGTTTATATAGAGTATGAAGTTCAATGCTGTTCTCACACAGACCAATCATCTCATCCCTTCCTTGAGGAGGTGGGGCCATGCTGTGCGTGCAGAGTTGTCGGTAAAGTCCTGGGTAAGAATGTGTCTAAAATGCATGTGAATGTGTGCAGTGAGCTGAGTGAATATGCATCGCCGCTCCCACTTTAATGCATGAAGCCTATCTGCTGCTCATTCATATTTATCTGCAGCACATACATGCACCCGGACACACAGCTGTTCCGCCGCGTGTGTAATCACGCTTTTTTTTTCTTTCTAATGTGGCGGTGCAGCCGCGTGTGTTTTCTCCACTCGGGTTGTTTGGAGTGTTTGCAAACAGTTTGAGTGAATGTACTTATTGTTCATGTTCGGTGTGAAGCAGCAGCAGCTCGAGTCAAACCCAGAGAGAGTGAGGCAATAAGGAGCTGTCAACGCTGTGTCAGGGTAATGTGCAGAGGATGCAAACACACCCACACACACAAACACACACCTACGCAAACACACACACACACACAGCTCCTGTCATTGAGGGTATTGACTCGGTGATCAAGTGGAATCAAGGATTATCTTAACCTTCGCCCTGCTGCTCCACAGACTCCACAAACACACAGGAAGCTTCATCACAGGAGGACTTATGTTTGTTTCTTCCTCTTTTGACGGTGTTTGTTACTGAAACCGGCTCCATCCTCATACCCACAAAGTCCAGAACATGGACTTTATTTCAGTGACGTCACCTTCTGGTCTCTGTAGCGCCGTTATCGATGGCTGCCATGTTGGAAATGCAGACTCAACCTTCCTGTCAGTCAGACGTGAGGCCGAGAGGAGGAGTCGACACTTTGGATCAACTTTGGCGTGAATTCAGAAAAATGTTCCTGGAAAAAGGAGCAAAATAAAAACAATAAAAACAAATTAGATAATGATGCTCCATGCTCCTCCCCTCCAAATCCTCCCTCTCTCCTTCTACGTCCTCTCCCTCCATATCTCCCCCTCCTCATCTCCCCCTCTCTGTCTCACTCCGCCTCTGACACCCTGATCAATTCCCCATCAAATCCTAATGCTGCGGTTTAACTCAAGTGTGGCATCTTAATTAGAACGATAACTGCACACTGTCAGGGTCATCGACTGCAGCGGCCGCCAACCAATGCTTCTCATCGACAGGCTGCCAACGCCGCACGAGGATCTGAGAGCAGGGGACGGAGAGACGGAGGGGGGACACCCGGGGATGGATGGACGGGGACAGAGAGGGGGAGAGAGAGGAAACAAGACGGGACAGCGAGGAGGAAGTGATAGAGAGGAAGGGTGCGAAGGAAGGGAAGGTGAAGAGGCCAGACTGCTTAGGGTGGGATGAAGGGTGGGAAAGAGAGAGAGAGAGAGAGGGATAAAGAAAAAAAAAATGATGAAGAAAAGAGGAAGAGGGGTAGAAGATTTATCTGAGTTTACTCGTTTAAAAAATGAAGAAGAGGAAGAAAGAGGGAAGCAGAGGTGATGTGAGGCAAAAGGAAGGAAGGAAGGAAGGAAGGAAGGCAAGGATAAAAAAAGGAAAGGCAGAAATGATGGAGTCAAGGAAGGCAAAAGAGGAAAAAGGATGGAGGGATGGAAGCCAAAGATGGGAGGAAGCTAAAGGGAGGAAGGAAGGAAGGAAGTACAGAGGAAAGGAAGCCAAAGATGGAAGAAAGCTGAAGGAAGAAAGTATAAAGGGAAGGAAGCCTAACAAGGAAGGAAGCTAGAGAAGGAAGAAAGGAAGGAAGGATGGATAGCGGTAAGGAGGCCAAAGAGGGAAGGAAACTACAGGAAAGAAGGAAGGGTAGAGGGAAGGATAGAGGGAAGGAAGCCTAAGAAGGAGGGAAGGAGAGGTGATGTGAGGCAAAAGGAAGAAAGAAGCAAAGGAAGGAAAGGAGGATAAAAAAGGAAAGGAAGAAATGATGGAGTTAAGGAAGGCAAAAGAGGAAAAAGGATAGAAGGAAGGAAGTCAAAGATGGAAGGAAACTAAAGGAAGAAAGGATAGAGGGGAGGAAGCTAAAGGACGGAAGGAAGGACGGAAGGAGGGAGGGAAAGAAGAAAGGAAGCCAAAGAGGGAAGGAAGCTAAAGAAGGAAGGGAACTACAGAAGGAAGGAAGGATAGAGGGGAGGAAGCTAAAGGATGGAAGAAAACCAAAGAGGGAATGAAGGATAAAGGGATGGCAGGCAAAAAAAAGAAGGAAGGATCGAAAGACAGAGGGCAAAGACAGAAAGCAGAAAGAGAGAAGGAAGTAAGGCAGGAAATGAAGGAATTTAGGAAAGGAGGGAAGAGAGGAAGGATAGAATGAAGGAAGGAAGGAAGGAGGGAAGGAAGGAAAGCCACAAAGGAAACATGTAGAGAAGGAAGTATAAAAAAGGACAGAAAATAAGAGTATACAGGAAAGGCAGAGAGAGAGAGAAACCCAAAATATTGAATAAAAGAAAGAAAATGAAAGGATGAAAATATAGAATTAAACGAGGGAAAGAAAGAAATTTGTGAATTAAATAAATACTAATGACACACTGATGATGACAAATAAGACAGAGGTACAAAGAGATAAACAGGTACACACACTCAACACACACACACTTAACTTACACTTACACATTCACACGCACACTTAACACACTTACACATTCACACACACGTTCACACACACACACTGAGGGAATTCCCTCTTCTTGGTCCTGTCAAGTGATTTGTCCTCCCTCCTTTTTATCGGAGCAGAGATGAGAGGAGGAAGAGGAGGAGGAGGAGGAGGGGTGAGAAAGAGAGAAAAAGAGAGAGAGAGAGAGCGACACGAGGAGCGAGTTTCTCTTTTTATGTGACAAATAAAGAAATCAATAAATCATTGTGGGCCTTTGACAGGTTGTGGCGAGGAGGGGCCGTCCGCTCCTCATGGACTATTTATGAAGCTGTCGCCGCCACCGTCTCTCTCCCTCTCTCTCCGTGAGTGAGTGAGTGTGCGTGAGTGTGTGTGTGTGTGAGTGTGTGAGTGTGTGTTGGCTGGTTGGTGAGCAAGAGTACTGTCTGAAATATTTAAATGTTTGCGTGCATTTCACACCGGACCTGTGGCCCCGCCGAGGGGATGGTGGCTGCAGGAGGAGGAGGAGGAGGAGGAAGAGGAGGTCACAGATTCAGTTTGAGGTTTATAGTCACAGCCCTCATAATGACATATAATAATGATAATGATAATAATGATAATGTTGTTTCTTGACCTTGTTACATCATGGTTTAAATCTTATACACATGTGTAGTTTTATTTAAAAATGTCCGTCAGTCTGATATTTGAGAGTTAGTGTTTCTCCTGCAGTCGTCTGAACTCCTCTCTCCTCCTCCTGAGCGCCTCTGTGTCTGAGCAGGAGGCCTTGAATGGGCTTTAGTTGATTAATGAAGAGCTTTTCTAAAGAGTTCATTCTCACTAACCTGCTGTAATCCAGCTATTACTGCAGATTATCCTGATTATTACATCGCTGTGGGCTCACCGGGCCGAGAGCTCAAATTAAGAGGGGTTAGTCGGAAATTTTGTGGGTTTTTACTCTGAGATTATCCTGAAATGAGAGTCATGATTACCCTCCAAAACCTCGAGTGGATGTGTTACCTGTGTGATCACTTACATTTGGTCATAATGAATCCAGATTAGAGTTTTAAGATTAACAGGTAGTGATTTAGATTTTGACGGGGATGGATTTTATTCGTCTTGTTTTACATATTGAACGTCTTTGGCTGTTGGACTGAAGGTTGCACAAAACTAGGGTGAACATGTGTCCTCTTTTACCGGGACATGTCCCCTTTTGGGGGGCTGTCTGGCCTGTCAGAGGGGAATTTATAAAGAGTTTTGTATGGAAGCCCAATTCTGCCAGTTAAAAAAAAAAAAAATAGACGATAAAATGTCATCTTTTTTTTATTTATTTATTTTTTAAGGTTCAAGGTAACTTTTTTGATACCTGTAGGTAGATTTGTTTAGCAGTTTCAAGCGTTATGCACCAACATTAAAAACACAGGACACATGCAGCAGACACGTTAAAAACAGCACAGACCAAAGACATTGACAGGTACTCCCGGTGGCTCACTGATCGTGGTCAAGAGACTAAAATAAATAAATAAAATAAACATTATAAACAAAAGTCGTTGGATATCACTAAAATGCCAGTATGACCCTGTTAAGATGTGCGGTTGAATTGTGTTAAAGGCTGAGGAGAAGTCGATGAATAAAAGCCGTGTGTGACACCCATTCCCTTCCAGATGTTTAAAAAGCAATTAATTTTTGGGAATTCAGAATACGTGTTTAACTGAGGTAGAAGCGTGTAAAAAAAACACTCAACCCGACCTGAAAAATCCTCACAATGTTCTTCCTTGAGCTGTGTCACCTCGCTGTAGTCCGTAATGGACTGGCCTGAGGTCTCACTACAAACAAGTGGCTGCTGGAAGAGAGTAGGTGAGTTGTGTTTAGTCTCTTTGCTAAAGAAATGAGTCATAGTTAAAAAGATGTTTGGTGTCTAGTACTATGTCTGTGACCCTATATGTCCTGTTGATGAAGTTAGGTGCTGTTCTGAGCATTATTTGTGGCGATAGAGTGGTGTTTTGGTTTGTTTATGGCTCCTCAGACCGCTGTGTATTGCTATCCTGCGGTCGTGACTAAAGTTGAAAGCAGTCGGCAGAAATCATCTCTCCGGGGGGGTGTCTAACTCCGTGTTACGGTGTGTTTAACCCTAAATTAATTTTACACCTTTAAGAAAATAAGAAAATGTGATGCTCTTGATCAGCTCCAAAAATCTTGTTTTGCAGAGTCTGGTTGGACAAAAATTTGCCAGGTCTTCACAGACAGGTCCATTTGTAGAGGGATGAACCCATCAGTAACAAAAACAAGCACGTTTAGATAATCCATCTTGTTGCACAGCTGCAGCTTCTTTTACCTTCTTTCAGTATAATATCTAATTATGTTAAAGAAGATTTCAAATCAACATGGAAATCTTTTTGTTTTTTGCATTGTGTTTCTGCATCCTTGTTTGATGCACCTTGGATTGGTCTAATTTAAATGTACAAGTTTTTATTTGTTTTAGCTTGGTTAAGAGTCTGACTCAAGATCTGGATCCATGAAGGAACCGGTCTCCCACTTGTCTGCACAGAAACCTGGACTTCTGACATCAACAGTTTTCTTGATGTGATCCCCAAACACCCGACTGAAGATCCCAGATGAGAAAATCTGTGCAGATTAGCGCCCACATTCATAAAAAAAGACGTTATAATCTGACACACGATGTTGATTTTTATTCAGGTTCTTGTTTTTCTCTGCAGGAAGCACTTTAGAGCCGTAAAAACTTTCTGTTCAGTCGAATCACGTGTTTTATTCCTCGCTCTTATGTCGGTTAGTGTGATTCTCACTGTGTACCTGTAAAGCTCAATATATCCTGTGTACAGTGTGTGTGTATGTTAGTGTGTGTTAGTGTGTGTGTGCATGTGTGTGTGTTTGTGTGTGTGGTGAAGCAGCTCGCGGCGATGCTGAGATTTAAACTCATTCTGTCTACGGCTCCATCAGATAACGAGCTGAATCAGCACGCAGCGTACGGATATGCTCAGAGTGGGACACACACACACACACACACACACACACACACACACACACACACACACACACACACACACACACACACACACACACACACACACACACACACACACAGACAGACACACACACACACACACACACACAGAGTTAAAGTGAGCATGAATCTGACATTCATAAAGATGGAGGGGGAGACAAAGACTGACACCAGCGCTATAATGAGCAGGAATCTCTCTCTCTCTCTCTCTCTCTCCTGTTTTCCTTCATCTCCTCTCTCTCTCTCTCTCTCTTTAACGAAGCGGTTTCCAAAATGAGGGTCGCCCCGCTTTACAGTGGTCACAAGGTTATGGTTATATGAGGGGTCACAGCATGATTAGAGGAAGCGAAATGTTTTGATATTTTTTGCATGTTTGAGTGATGCTCTCTGTCTGATCAAATATACATCATTGTAAAAATAAAGTAAAAACATTTTAGCACTGCTGCTGATGATTCTTATTGCCGATATGTCAAAGCTCTGCTACAGTTATTTTCCTCCTGCTGTGCGATGTGCACTGAGCAACCAAAGAGCAGGTAGCTGTGGGGCAAAACAGAAAGAGAAAAGAAAAGAAAGAGGAAAAAGAGAAAAAATGCCAAGATGTTAATCAGAGAGATTTGCGAGGGTGTGTGAATGATCAACAATCAATATTATTGGCAGAAATCGAGGTCCCCAAAATCTAATTTTGCTCAGGCCCTCATTGAGGCTTGGTTTGGTTCGGCTCTGCCCTGAAGTGTGGAGCAGCTGAAATCCGAGAGTCTGTGATCGTGTTTAACTTTCAAAACTCCAGGAACTCCAGGAACTGTCCTTGTCTCCACAAACATTTGCAGAGTCTGGTTAAAAGAGGAGGTGATGCAACTCGCTGGTAAACACGTCCCTGTCCCGGCGCCGAGGATAATAAATGCTGCCGACGTCAGATTTAGAACCAGTGTGTATTTTTCATAAAACTGCAGTTTTCTGCTTCAGCGTCGCACATCTTTTTGTAGTAATAAAGAGTTTAAATTATTTGCAAATGCAGGTTTAATTTTTCACTTAAACTAAATTTTTTCTCTTTTCCCGCAAAGTTTAAAATCATCTCATCATCTAATAACAGCTAAAATTACAGCTTCAGAGATGTTATGAGCTGGATTGTACTCTTCCTCCTCCTCCTCCTCTTCATCTCGTTTTCTCTCTCTCTCTGTTGGAGCTGCAGCTGGATCGCTTTCAGAGCCCTGCTGTCGGTGCTAACCACACTGTGACCCCGCTGACCCCTCTTATATCCGCCGCCTTATCTCTTCCAGCCCACCACAGCACCCCGCACCTCGGCCCTCACCGCGCTCTCTGCTGCTACCCCTCCCTGAGGAGGAGGAGGAGGAGGAGGAGGAGGAGGCGGTCAGCGAGCTTCAGGCCTGTCCCTGCTCATTTCAGGTTAGCCCGTCTGCATTAGCACCAGCCAAAGTGACAGCTGTCAGCGCCACTGAGCGCGCACCAGATGCTCCCCCTCCATCCGTCCTTGGAGCTCAGCCAGGACGAAGGTGAGGAGAGGAAAGAGGTAAGGAAAGGAGAGGAGGAATGAGGAAAGGATGAGGAGCAAGAGGAGAACTAGAGAGAAGATTAAGAGGAGGGGATGAGATTAAACAGCAGATACAGGAAGTAAGAGAAAAGAGAGAAAAGCAAAGAGATGTTAGGAGCAGATGATGGGAGGAAAGGGAGCAAGGGTGGAGGAAGTGGAGAAGAAAATGTGGAAGGAGGTGAAGAAATGATGAGAAACTTGACTGAAAAACAGTCAAATAAAAAGCGTTGCTGTGTTCAAATCTTCGTTTTATGAACTTTAACAGAGTCCAATGGTCGGTATGAACGGATCAATATGATCCGATAATAAAACTGACCGATCGATCGGGAGTCTGACAGTAAAGCTCTGCAGCTTTAGAGTGTGAGTGTGTGTTTTTCTGACCTCTGTAGTCTCAAGTCTGGAGTCATGTGGACCTGCTGCTCTGTTTTGGCCCCTCTGTGGACCCCGGAGCTCCGCCGCGTTTGTGTGCGAGCAGCGCCGCCTGCTGGCCGGAGGAGGAGGAGCTACAGCCGGGGAGAAGCAGCAGCGGAGTGCCGCAGTGCTCCTCTCCGCTCCACACCGATCTCCACCACCGAGAAGAAGAAGAAGAAGAGGAGAGACGAGGTGAGGAAAACAGACAGAAAACAAAGTGTTATGAATTCTGATTTAAGTTTGATTAAAATCTTTTAATTTTTGTAATTTCTACAAGTTTGTCTTCACGAGTTTGGAGGGACGTCTGTGGATCCGTGCAGCAGACATGAATGTAACTTTAATCTCTGCGAATTTGGGATTAACGGTCTGAACAAACCGATTAAAATGATCATGCACAATTCTTGTAATTAAGTTTTAACTGTTTTAATCCGGGGGTAAAACACGAGAAGAGACAGATTTGGTCCTCGGTCCGGTCCGGTCAAGTCCGGTCCTGGCTTGATCTGATATTGAACTTCAATGTGCTCAACGCGAGTCGATCCCTTTAATGTGATACTAAAAGACTGATTTTTAATTTTTGAATTGAGCCTTAAAGTCATTGATTTAAATGATAAATTGAAGACATGTTTCTTAATATAGAATTAGAGTTTTAAGAGTTTTAGATTTCTTTGTTAATCCTTCTGAAGCTCTGCACTTTGATAAAAAATAAAGTTTCATTATTTATTATAAATCTGTGAGTGAAATAAGAGGGTTAAAGAGAAAGACAAAGTGGAAATCAGGTGAAGAGAGAGAGCAGAAGACCAAACAGGTGCAGGACGAAATGTTGCATCATCTTAAATCTGTGTGTTTCAGGATTCAACATGCAGACGACGACTCTTTTTTAATCCGTCTCACCTTTTTCTTTCCAGCTGTATCTCTCCACATCTTCATTTTCAGTCTTCAAGTCTTTTTTAAAAAGTGTAAAATATTGAATCGCAGGTGCGGATCATGCAGCTGCTGCAGCCCAACAGGTGGAGATGACGAATCACCGCAGAAATACCTGCAAACATGCAAAAGCTGTCATCTCCAATTTAGGATGCACATTTCCTGCATGGTAAATCATCAGTTTTCTAGAATGTGCATATGAATTATCTGACACAGATTGTGTGTTTTCTCCAGGGTCAGAGGTCAAGTTAGTAGAAAACATCACCGAGAAAAAAGCTGCAAAACATTCAGATTTTATCTGTTAAATCTTCTCGATGCGTCCGGTGTGAAGAGAGTTAAACCTGCTGCAGGACGCCCTAATAAGTCTGTGTATGAATAAATAACACACACACACACACACACACACACACACACACACAAACACACACACACATGCAGAGCGATCGGCCGGGCAGCAGCAGCAGCGTCGTGGGTGTCTTGATTCCTAGACAGACACACTCATGCACTTTTAATGGGATCCCTCTCTAAAACGACGGGATTCCTCCACCGAGCACGACCCTTTCTCACCGAGTGTGTGTGTGAGAAGAGAGAGTGCTTAACAGTGACAGAGAGAGAGAGAGAGTGTGTGTGTGTGTGTGTGTGTGTGTGTGTGTGCAGGAGGTGTGAGTAAGGATCACCCACTGGCCCTGGGGTGCGATTTCAGCTTGCCGGAGGGAGGCTCAGAGTGGTCCCAAGACCCTGAAAACCCCAAGGCTTGAAATCAAACCTCTCTGCTCTCAGACCAGCACAACTAAGAGAAGATGAGCAGTGAGTGCAACGTAACATTTTTAATATCTGGAGAATAAATCTGTAATGGTAAGGTAAGGTAAGGAAATTTAACTTTTTCTAACCACCTAAAAATGTAACATGATTGTTCCTCAAAGTTACAGAAATCTCAGTTTGTCTTCTTTCTGTCAAAGCATCACAGTTTCTGTGTCTATAACCCAGTTTTGAGATTTAATTTGCATCATTTTTATGAAGTTTCCTTAAAAAACTGTGAGAGCACTGACCTGCTGAAAGATGACACATGCAGACCAAGTTCAAACCCTCAGAGCTCAAAGTTTCCAGAAATATCAAACATAAAATAAAACACATTAAAAAAAACAAAAGTTCAGCTTTAAAAATAAAATCTCGATGAGGAAAGAATTTGTTTAAAAGCTCATTACAGGTAGAGTTTCCCTTGACTTGTTTACGAAATGATCTACTGCGACAGGATACCGAATGATCTTGTTTTATGATGCACATCAGCAGGGATTTTAACAAAAGTGAAGAATCAGAGGCAATAGAAGGTTTTGAAGTTGTATAATCTGTTGAATACGTCCGAATATGTGCTGCAAAATCTCAGATATTTCATCTCAGATATTTGACCTTTCGCTTTAATTCTCATGCTTTTGCATATTTCATCCATCACCTCTTTAAAGCTGTGGTTCCCGTCCTGTTTCATAGTCTCATCCCTTCATGCTAGCTGTAAGAAACAAAAATAAAACCAGAGATTTCTAAGTTTTAGGAAGTTTTAAAATGAATCCACCCTCGGGCTGCCATCTTTAACCATGAAAGGATGTCACTCAGGCAGGGATGGTTTTGAAACGTCCTCTGGTCTGAACATCATCTCAGTGTTTCCTCTTTAATCTGAGGTGAAAGGGAATTCCTTGAAGTCATGTTTCATTTCAGACTTTTTAGGCTTTCCGTCCCAAAAACATGAACAGAAACTGGAAAACAGACCTTTGCACCCTGAGCCTGGAAACGTTTGCAGAATAACCTGAAACTCGAGGAGTTAATTCCACATAGTTTCTCTTTTTATTGCAAATTTCAGTTCTTATAAATCTAATCGTCATCTGTGTCTCTCCCAGGTCTCCTTTAAAAACAGATTTTAATCTCAGTTGGAGTCACCAGATTAGAAAAAGGTTCAGATTTAGATTTCGGTCTGATAATCTGGACGTCTCCGCTTCAAACTCTCTTCTTTATAGTAACCCTGTTTGCTTCAGACCGAGTCTCCACAGCATGAATTAGTCATTTCGACCCACTGAGGACCTTCAAAATGTTCTGTGGAGCTGAAGAATCATTGGCTGAAGGTTATGAATGAATTTTTCTTCATAATCAGTTTATTTTTTAAATGAAATGACAAAAATAATGAACAATTTGAAGAATGAAAACAGGATTTTACTGATATTTTTGCACATCACTCCTCTTTTATATACGAACGAAACTCAGTCCAAACTCTATAACAAGGAAAACGTTATAATTTTTATGCTTTTATTTAAATTTCTGCCTAAAGCTGTAAATGTGTGTGTAGAGACTGTGTAGAGACTGCAGGGTGATTACTGTTATTTTAATATGTTCTCAGGGTAATTATTTAAAAATATATCAACCTCAAAGAAACTGCATTAACTCCACCTTTCTTTCTTTAAATTTGACAAAATAATCACAAAAATTAGACACAGACATGATCCTGGTGCCGTTAAGGAAATGTGCTTTTCAGAATAATAAACAGTCAGATCATGAGTTAAATACTGAAATAAAAAAGTGCTTTTAATGACTTTTAATCGAGCATCATAATAGAAATAAATCAGATTATTTAAGCACCTTCTATTGTGATTAACACACACTTCTCTTTCTGCTCTTTTGCTGAAACGTTTCCTAAATCCAGATTTTTTTGTCAAATATTTGATCTTGAAAATCTCATCTTTGATTTCGACACATTATATTTTTTCCCCGAGGCTGAGGGGATTTTGTGCGCGGCTTTGTGAGAGGCCGATGAGTGAATAAAAAATGAAATGATAAAGCAGCTGTTCCATATTTATTACACAGAAGGCACTTAAAGGCTGAACAGAGGAAATCTGTGCGTGTGTCTGAGGGAGCAGTGTACCAAATGTTTGTGGTTTTTTGCTTTTGCTTTATTTATTTATTCATTTATTTATTTGTTCTCTGGTGAGCGGGATTACCTCTGAATTATGGAACAGTCCCCTTTCTCTCCTTAAGTAAAAAATAACATCTGTCCGGCAAATGGAGAGCTTAGTGTTTCTCTATAATTAATGGTAAAAGCCTCCAGAGCCGCACATAAAATATACATCCTGCATGCAGTAGGACCCCCATAACAAAGAGGGCGAGAGAATGCAGAGAGAGAGAGAGAGAGAGAGAGAGAGAGAGAGAGAGGAGGAGGGCAGCGGGTCAGTGAGAGAAGAGGAAGAAAAGAGGAGAGTCGATTAAAGAAAGCGGTCAGTGTCTCAGAGAGGACGGAAACGTGTGTTTACTGTCTGTTCTTATCGTTTTGTGCAGACGTGCATCCATCCTTTTTATTTTAATGTTGATGAAGAGAGAGATTCCTGTTTATGTATTTTTCCTTTATAATAAAATATTGTGGGTTTTTTATCCCCATTAAAACTCCTTAAATCATCTCTTTATCTGGAGATAACCGGGCTGCTTCTTCTCCTCAGAGATCTGGATTATGTGCCGTGCTGCTGCTACAAACCTACCGTCAGAAATATTGGAGAAATATTTAACTGTAATTTTACTTCTAAATATCATAAAAGAGAAGTCACACAATAATGCTGCCATGACTGCTACTAGTTTTTTCCATTTGCACTGTTTACTATGACTTAGTAATGCTGCACTATGGTCTGCCTTATGGTCGTGTTTATAGACTGTTTTCACTTATTCGTTATTTTGTGTAAGTATTGTCACTGTATTTGTATTCATAGAATGTGTTCTGTGTTTCACTGGTGCTGCCTGTGGTTTTTTGAACGTCCCTCTGGGATTAATAAAGCTACCTATCTACCTTCCTACCTTCCTACCTACCTTCCTACACTTCCTCCTAAAACTCTCTCCTGTCAGGTATCACATATGAAGCTCTCTCCTGCCTCCAGCTGGTCCAAAATGCAGAATCTCACCGGCTCTAAAAGACAACACCACATTACCCCATTTTCTCCACATTCTGCTCCCTGTCAGATTTAGAATTGATTTTAATATTCTCTCGTCCCTGAGTCCATCTATATATCTGAAATGTTGACCTCTCAGCCTTTTCCATCAGGGATCAAACCAGGAACCAGTTCGCGCCACCGGCCTTTGCTCCTCCTTGCAGCCTAAAATCCACATGCTCTATTTTCCAGAGCAGCAAACTCGCAAACCACACTTCATCTGTGCTTGTTTACATCCAGGTGGTAGAGCGTTACAGCAGAAGCCGTCTGAAACCACAGCCCTGGTTAGAATGTGGATGACAACATATGACTGACATTCAAGCCGACATTTATACCCACTGTTCAATGCGATGTTGAAATGATATCTATTTAATGTATTTTTTTGATGATGAGGTACAGATGTGGACGTCATTTCAACGTCCTAAAGAGGTCCAATAATGACGTCTAAATCTTGGATCCATTTTACACGTTGTGTCGACGTCTAGATTTGGTCTTCAGATGACGTACAAATTCTGAACATCAAAGCAACATCTAATAAAGGTCCAATTTGGACATTGAAATTTCTAACCAATGACTGACCCAATACTGACTTGATCTGCACGTCTCTTCGACGTCCGATGTTTGGTGGGTAAGAATATTAAGCGCTCTGACATTACAAGTTACATATCTGCAGCTCCATGATATTCAAACATGTTTAAAATAGTGTTTTTAATGTGCTTCCATTGACCACAGCAGCTGCACACACAAACTAATACACACCATCATCATCATCATCATCATCATCATCATTTGGACACACTCCTGCATTGAACAGCTCCCAGCTGATTTGTGTATTGATTAGAGATTGAAAAATGATCGGCTGTGGAGAGTAAACATGAGGCACTCAGAGGGTCATGGAGGGAAACACACATCTCATTAAATTTACTGCCAGAGTTCACACACACAAACACACACATATAATCACATGTAGAGGAACAACACAGGGAGGACAGAGTTTCCAGAATAGATACGAGGATCCTTCTGACTAAGCATTAACCTGCACATTTACGTATTTATTTATATGACGGTCTTAAAAACTAAAGGTCAAGTTTGGAAACATGACACTCAAACACAACAGATTTTTCACACGCAAATATTCAAGCAGTTCCTATTGAAGATATATAGTGACCTCTAGTGGTTCCAACATGTTAGGACAATATTTAGACTGACAGGTTCATTTTTGTTGTGTTAACTTATTATCTTTTTTTCATGTATAAGTTTAGAAATACATCTAAAAAGGTCAAATCTGATGGTATATGGCACAAGAAAAATATGCAATACTGTTTAAAACTATTCTCGCTTTCCCCTATGTTTGACAGGTCAACAACACAGAATAATCAATTATCAGAAATAGACAAATACTATGGGCTTTATTTTCTTTTTTTCAATGAACATTTTTAATTACTTTGGTTTTATTTATTTTAACTTTTCCTTTTTAGACATTTACTGTTAGTCAGTTTAGAGGTTTTTATTTATTTATTTTATTTTTTAGATGTTATTTTTTATCAAAGCTCTTGCACATTTTCCTGTGACTTATTTTCATCAATAGTTTAATAAAGAAAATAAAGTAAAAAAAAAAAAGAAAAGAAAAGAAAACCCCTTTTGTCTAAATTATTATTATTATTATTATTAGTATTAGTAGTAGTAGTAGTAGTAGTAGTAGTAGTACTATTAGTATTATTATTGTTATTATCATCATTTTGCAGCGGTTTGAATAAAACTAAAATAGTCGTCTGAATATTTTCATTTCTCATCCGGAACCAAAGTATGTACTGAGCCGCTCTCCACCGGAACGTTATAGATGGTGGACGGCAGCGATGGAAAGATGGCGGCGGCCGTGGTACAAATGTCATGTTTGTACCGGGGTATGTTGGCGGTCAGGGCCACCGGCATCAGGACAATGATCCCGGGACTCGTACCGGCGCAGTTTCGAGCCTTCTCGGTGCGGAAAGATCCGGATCTGGAGGAGAACCCGTACTACAACAAATATCAGGACAAGATCCAGAAGCTGCGCAGGTCAGAAAGCTAACTCGGCTAACGGCTGCACCAGTCTTCAGCTGAGAATGAGCAACTTTTGATATAACTTTATTTTTTAGAGTTATGTGCACTTAACAGAACGAGTCAAGTTATTTAATTCAAAGTTTGTGATCTTAACTATAATTCGGCTTAAATTCTAAATGTTAAAAACGTTTCCATGTTTAATTATTTTGATATTTCTATCCAAAATATTAATTGAAGTGAGAAACAGCAGGACTTCATTGAAATGAATAGAAACTGCAGGAGTCCAGAGATGTTTTAATGATGATAGTAACCGATACAGAAGTGAACTCAAACTGATTTGATATTTTAAAAAAATCTGTATATGTTCACTCAAGCACTTTATATTACATCAGATGTTAGAAACCAGCCCTGGTATTTATTTATTTATATGTTATTTATGTCCTTTCTTTGCAGCTCCAAACCGCAGGAGTACAAGGCTCGGCTGGAGAAACGACATGAAGTGAAGACTGAAGTCCTGGGACATTCAAAGCAGGCGGAGTTTGTCAAACTCATGGAGAAGGAGGTATTAGCTGGGGTCAACATGGGGTAGAAAATAGGTGGAAATATTAAACTTATGATCGATAGATTGGGTGTATTTTCATCATGTTCTTGTGGCAGCAGTGTGGTTCAGTTTGGTGTGTTTTTCTTGCTCATTCTCGAAGTTGGAGGAGAGAGACAAGAAAGCTGCGAGTGAAGGAGCATCAGGAGGATTCACAAAGAACAAGGTGAGATGGACTGAGGTTTTTTTCTACCTGTATATTTATCATCATCTGTGTTTATGTTGAGGTTTTGTTTTTGAGTAAATGAAAATATATAGAGGCTCTAAATCATTTTGCCTTTTACCTTCACTTGATCTGTTTTTAACTGAATTTCAAATAGACGTCTGACATCTCATTCTAAGTTTCTTTAGTTTTAAATAAAAACAGATGTATTGTAATGATAATGGTGTAGAAGTTTACTGTAATGTGTCGTGTAGACGCTGGACTCCATCCTCAACTTGGAGATGATCAAAGACAAGACGGGCGAGGAAATCACAGAGGTGAGCGCCTCAGTGTGGCGTCAATTAAAACTGACAATAATCACAAATTTAACTCTTTAAGTGTTTGATCTGTTTGAAGCTTTAGCTTGTTTTGATTTTTGTTCTGCTCTCTTAGATTTGGATGAAATTTTATTCGACTAAAGACACGATCAGCGCTGCCATCCCGGTGAGTTCAACACCAGCCTTTAGTTCTTGTTCTCAGGGTTTGCAGAAAAGTTTAGATATTCAGCAAATTCTGTTCAGTCTCTGTAACACTGAGAGCAGTCACTCAGTGAAGCTTGTTAACTAGTATTGACAGTTTTATAGATCCGACAGTGAAGAATAAAGTGATTTGCATATTTGTAAGAGTCTAATAGCCTGTCTTCCTTCATACTGCAGGCCCAGATCTATGAGGTGATTTTCAACAGGTCGAAGTCCTGTCAGATGGTAAGATCACTAACTCTGAAACATGTCAAGGAAAAACAGCTGAAATGATCAATAACAGACGAACAACTAAGATCATGTTTCTCCTCTCATGTCTCCTCCTCAGTTCCTCTACGCTCTTCCTCAGAAGGAGGGTTACGAGTTCTTCTTGGGTCAGTGGTCCGGACACGAGCTCCACTTCACCTCCCTCATTAATGTCCAGGTAAACCACACGCCTCCTTCACACGCTGCCAGGAAAATCTGATACTTCTGTCATGTGGGGGTGGGTCTGAGATGAAAACAACAAACATGTCAACCAGCAGAGGCAAAAAGTTTAAAGCTGCTTTCATAACTCCTCTTCTTGTGTTGATTAAACCCCAAAAACAAACTCTTAGAAGTCTCCTCTCTTCCTGATAACATTTTTAAAACCTTTGAATGGTTCTTATATTAATCTACACTTTAAAGAGCTAAAATTTGGTCATTTCTGGGTTACTGGGTTAAATTTCTGCTCACCAGGGTTTGCTCAGTTTCCTTGAACAGACTTAAGAGTCGCTCCTCGTGATGAACTGTGCTGTTTTCTAAGAATTTCCCTTAAAGCCGAGGCTGAATCTTTGTAAAGATAAAAGTTATTCACAAAGTATTTTAACCTTTCAGAGAAAAATTTTAAAAACTGTGAGGAGGATTAGGAGGATTTTGAAGAGGCTTAAGAGTTTCTCAAACTGGGGAGGAAATGGCAGAAAGACAGAGAAAGAGGAGAAACTCACTTTTACAAACCAGTGAAACAACCCGAGACAAGAAGAGCAAACGTGGGTTGGTTGTAGAAAAATGATCTTGTGATCTTGTTCCCACGACAGGAGAGTAAAACAAGCTAATAATTAAAGACATGAACAAACTAAAAGAGCAGAAACATCAGAAAATGACAAACACTGATATCTCTGTGTGTCTCAGAGAGTGAGAGCAGATCACATCCTGGTTTGATGCTATAATGGAAAGAAACAGCAGACCTGTGTGTGATTTCTAACTTTTTTGAGCTGTGTTGATTTTGGCGCCCCCTGTGGACCCTCACATTTTCACTGATTTGGTCCTTGTAAAGTGGAGTTCATTGACAAACTTTGTTGGTGTTCAGATGCTCGGCGAAAACGCTCCCAGTCAGCTGATCCTCTATCACTACCCCGACCTGAAGGAGGAGAAAGGCGTCGTCCTCATGACGGCAGAGATGGACCCAAAGTTCATCGTAAGTTCTGCACCTGTGCTCTGAACCTGATCAGACTCGCCTCAAAGTGGGATCAACACTGTTACTGTCTGTCCCTCCTCTCCACAGACCGTCCACCAGGCTCAGTGTTTGGCCAATCAGGTGCAGCTCTTCTACGGCACGCAGAGGCAGGAGACGTTCCGGTTGGTGGAGACGTTTAACCACCACCCCGCAGAGTTCAAACACATGTCGGTGATCGCAGAGCTGGAGCAGAGCGGTTTGGGCCCGACGGTCGCTCCTAAAGGATCGTAGTGAGACTCCTCTTCTGTCAGGAGATCCAGAAACTGTGAAAAACCACCACCTGATGTTCAAACTGTAAATACTGTTTCATTCAGGACAAAGTATCTACAGGAGCATTTGAAGCTCCTCTTCAGCTCCATCATGGACCCTGACACTCATATTTTTGTTGTACATAAATTGGTCACTTCAATCTTCCATCAGTGAATCTCTCTGTATCCCTCATTCCCTCCAGAAGGACTTTGTAGACATCCCCGAGAACTCATGTGATTTTCATTAAACCATCTACAGACAGCCAAACCTTTGAAACTCAACATTTTCACACCAAAACACTTCTTCTGCCAGACTTTCCTTTCTTGCACCTGTTGAGAATTTTTCTGCAGTGTCAGGTCGACTAAACCTTCAGCAAACAACCGACGACTTTAGTGCAAGAAAAGAAAAACTTAGAAGAGTAAAAAAACACAATCAGCTGTTTCAGAGGAAGTTATCACCCTCTTAAAAAATGACTGCAGAGTAGTAAAGATGATGGAAATGTTCGTTAGATTTAGCAGAACTTTAAAAAACAAGTACAATTCCACATATTTATAAGATTTTGAACCTAATTGATCTTGCTACAGTCAAGTTCAATAAAGTTCAATAAACTCACAAAGAAAAGCTGTAAACGGTGCTTAAAAAACTCAAACAACTTTCCATCAGGTTTGTTCGAGCCGAACACAAGCTGACTTTTTAACCACCTGTAACGCCTAAAATCGATATTAATGATTATTTAACCACCTCGACAGTGAACTGGAGTTCCTCTGTCTCTGATCTCTGATGCTACAGAAACTTATCCTCCTTTTCTAGATCTTAATAATGTCAGAAGAAACTCACAACTGACGAGCGTCATGTGATTACTCTGTTCAGGTGAAAACCGCCCAAATCAGGCAGATCCGGTTATTCAAGCTTTGCACAACTCTGTGTTTAATGTTGACATCATGAAAACTTTCTTTTTTGGTTCAAACGAATTTTTATGTATTTAGATTTTACAAAATATGCTGAGATCTTAAGATGGAAATGGTTGAACCAGAACTTCAAATCCTTTTTTGTCTGGAAGTTTTCTTGTAATGCCACTTGGGGGCGCCAGAGTCTCGTACCTTCAAATTCTGCTGTCAGGACCTGCTGTTGATTTAGGATTGAGGAAACTGAACCTCAGCCGGACTCTTTTGGACGTGTTGTTGTCACACATTCAGGTCTGTTTCCTGTACTTAAAAAAAAGAAAAACTAACAGCAGCAGATTCACTGATTCATCAGTTTTACTAACTTGTTTATTTTGCTTAGTGCAGCAGGGTGTGACTGTGAAGATGAAGACATGTCTGCAACAACTAAACCTGTCATCCACCTGCTGTTCTCGGAGGTACAGTCTCCTGGTTTCCTCACAATCATGACACTAAAGTTTTGTTTCCAGAATGAAAACAGAAGCAGCTGAGATCGGTTCATTTTCCACTTTTATTGTATTTACATAAACTGATAAAAACTGTGCAAATGTCCCCAAACGCAGAGATGCAGGGATGGTCAGAAATTCAGTCACAAATTCTTCCTCCTCTTATCAGTCTTTACAAACGACTCCTTCACTCACAGAGGACATGGACAACTGCAGGATCTCCTTCAAAATAAGAGCGTAACAAAGTCAACATTTCCTTCAAAGTCAGAAACTATTTCACGGATTTTAAGTTGAAAAGTTCATCGATTTTTTTTCTCTGACTATAAGAAACCAAAACAAAATATTGTTTCAATTTAATACAAAAATGTACCGCAAAGTTTTAGGGCCGCTAATGAAAACGTTCAGCTCAAGGCAAGAGGGTCGAAAAATTAGAAATCCAAGGTCAAATTCAAGGTTAAAAAATGTGCTCATAGAGGGAGTAGAAGCTCCGAGATACAAAAGAGGATTTAGGGCCACAAGGAGAGAAAAAAAAAAATTATAAGAGGGAGATATTTTTAAATTTCCATTTCGAGATAAAAGTCGAAATTTTAAAAAGTTGAAATTTTGACTTTATTTATGTCGACTTTAATCTCGAAATTTCAACTTTCATATCAAAATTTCAATTTTTAACCCGGAAATCCTGGCTTTATTGTCATAATTTCTATTTTTTTAACTCGAAATTCTGACTTCAATCTCAAAATTTCGACTTTCATCTCCTTCCTGTTATTTTTTTTCTCTTTATGTGGCCCTAATCCTCGTTTGTACCAAGATGATTAAAAAATGTTGACTTCTTAACATATTTGCAAAATATCCTTTCATAGGATTAAACAGGCATTTAATTAATTTGTTTTTCTTTTCTGTAAATACCCAGGTAAAAATGTGGATATTCTCTTACCCTATCAGGTTTAAAAAAAACACAAATTTATGTTAGAATTTAGAAACTGTGTCTTAGTTTAGACGCACAGGAAATGGCATAAAGTTTTCAAACCTTCTTTAGATTTAAAAAGAAAACTGTTTTCATGTTTCAAAAGTACCTCTCCTGTTTTTTTATCATGCTACAGTGTATCATGAATATGACCCTTCTGACTTCCCGTCCCCTGATGACAGACCCACATGGCACAAACAGAACAGAAAAATCAAAATCAAACACAGAATTAAGTTTTTTAAAATCTGGACTAAACAAAGATGTGCTAACATTTCCCAAAATCGTACGACACGTATCAAAATCTTACAAAAGAGACATTTTATCGCTAACATCCTCGTCTACTGCCCCCTAGTGTTGGCTGACTGTGACATACAGTTCAGTGGCTGGACTTCACTTTAATACAAAACAAAGCGCGCACACACACCCGACCTCTCACAGCCTGGAAACAAACATGACCTTCAAACTACAAAATCAACAAGAGCGTCCTCCTGTTTCATTTTCACAGTGCAGTAAAGACACAAAATAAAAACCTCTAACCTCTGAAGTGCCTTAAGTTCTCTAACAACGACAAAAATCAACATTATTCTCCACAACACCGGTCCAAAGGTGAGACTAAAGTTCTGTTAGTGAGCGGGTTAGTGGTCCAGATCTGTTTGGAAGGTTCTGGTTCTGGAGCTCTTCAGCGGAGAACTTGTTCAGCTCAGATCTTCAGGAGGATATAAGACACGAGAAATGATGGGACAGTTTTCACTCAGCAGAGTAAAACGTCTTTTTACGACAGACCATGTTTCAGTCAGCCTAACTGTTCCTCGCTCCTGTGCTGTGATTGGCTCAAACTTCACAGATCTGGACGTCGCTGGTATTTACATTCAGGATGTTTACATTTAATCTTGACGTCTCAACACCAGAGTTCCTGTCTAGATTTACCAGTTCTTAATGTTTTAGTATCCTGTTGCTCTAACGGCTCTAAATAGAGTCTGGTTAACTTAGAAAGACTACACAGATGTGTGATGATTAACCTGAAAGGGGGACTGAAGCCGACATGATTTTCAGCGAAAACCTCCATCTCAGATCGGGTCCTAAATCAAGCTCCTGTCTTAAAAACAACATTTCTGTCTTTTTAAAGGCCCCCTGGCACTCTGGAAGCCTCCTCCACTGTTGCCTATTGTAGCAAAGTTGGTTTTAAAGAGACAAATTATGAAATATGGATATATTCTCCAAAATCTAACCTGGAAAGTTTGGAAAAGTTTGGAATTAATCCTACACAGATGGACATAAATCCCTCTGCTTAAGTCCCTTCGTCTTCTTCCAATCACAGCACAGGAGGGGGGTCAGGTGACTCACTTTAAAACTCTGTATATCCAAACTAAGACTAGATGCAGAAAGAGCGATTCACACCGAGTATGGGTAAACTTATTTTGGTCAAATCTCGTCGAACTCTCTCGTTTCTGTTCTAGATGTGTTTGCAGAGAGGATCTATGTGATCTATCTCTGTGCAGCATCGGCAAACCGGTCGCTACGTGTTACCGGAGGGAATGGCGGGAAGTCACCGCTGATGGTCCGGCCGCAGCAAAGTCAGCTGTCAGCCAATCAAAATGAAGCTGACCTGAGCCGTAAAGGTCGTCCGTTTTTAGTTTGTTGAATCAAAGTTATTAGCTGCCTTTTCGTACACAGAGCAAAGCAGAAGCAACACAGTGTCAGGCATCACGTCTCATATATATATAAAGGGTTTCATTTCTGCGATTTAGCATCTTGGGTTTGTTTACGAGTCTGTTGGAAACACTTTAAAAACACTTTTAAAAGAGTTCAGTTTGAACCGTTTTAACTCTTGGTGGCGTCTCTTAACCGAACTTAAAACCAAACGACGGTCGTCTGAACCGGTTTGATCTCGTTCCTGTTTGATCAGCACATCCTCAGACTCAAAGGCAGTGTGGTCCAGCTGCTCCTCTGAAGCACAACGGTTGAAATTTTCATGGCAGGGACATTAAAATCACCTCTCTTAGTTTCTGACACTTAAAATAATGTTTTTTTTCCCTCTTTTTTAAAACGTTATAAAGCACTTTGATTCAATCTTTGTATGGATGGTGCTTATAAATAAACATGTTTTCCTCCACATAAGATAAACTGATTTGTGCCGCAGTAGAATAATGTTGTACTTGTGCTTCTCTCCCTGCAGCAGCGCCCTCTGCTGGTGTAACACTTCTCTAACTCTGGATTCGCTCCTTCTTCTACGCCAAGCTGATTCCCTGAGTGTCTCCTCTGCAGTCCGGTCTCAGTACATGGCCTCCGTGTCTCTCAGGCTCCCAAACGACAAACTGAAAGTGCTTCCGAGTCTCTTGGAGAGGCCGCTGCCTTCCCTCTTCTTCTTCCTGTTCCAGTTCAACAAGGAGGCGGAGCTCTGGCCCTTCGCCGCGCCCAGCAGGCGCTGCTGTCGTGTGTTTTCTTTGTCGCTGCTGTTGGAGAGCATGATGGTCCTTCTGTCCGCCTGCTGGCACACACACAGGTAAAGTCACTGTAACACAGCTGAGCGTGGATCATAAACACACGTTCACTCAGACTCACCTGTGTGTCGTGGGAGTGTAAAGTGATCACACTGAGCTCCACGCCTCGATTGCCGCAGTTCTTCAACATCTGGACCACCTCGCTGTGTTTGGACCACTTACAGTCCTCTCCGTCCACAGCTACGATGTAGTCCCCCTCTCTCAGACCGGCCTCCTGCACACCAGACATCCACACAACTCTTTACTAACTGTCTCATTCTTGCGGCGCTGTGACAGATCAGTAAAACTCATACTAATAAACCGAGGAAGACTGTTCTCTCACCGCTGCACAGCCTCCAGGCACCACGCCAGCCACCAGGACGGGGGAGTCTCCTCTCAGCGTGAGACCCAGTCCTCCCTCTCCCCTCTGCAGGCAGATCACACGCACGGGACCCCAGCGAGATCGTGCGCAGAACACCGACAGAGGCCCCTGCAGCACAGAGGAGAGTCGGCTTCAGTTTAGATGTCATCAGATCAGCAGAGTTTCAGTGTTTATCTTTGCTTTTAACCTGAACTTCTGAGTGCACGAACACTTAAGACAACAATGGAAAAAAATACACCAACGAACAAACAAAAGTTGTGTCAAAGTGGATTGTTTGGAGCGTCGTTGTGGGTGAGTTAGTGTAGAAGAAAAGGTCCTCCAATGATCGTCTAGGAGCTACTGTAAGTCGATACTTAAAGCTACTGAGATGCTTGACCTGGAGTAACCTGGTTGACGCACCGCGCTGCTGAGTTTTACCGCGAGTTATGATGATCATTGACAGTCCGGACGATTCAGCAAACAAAAAATTTATCGATTTTGGAATTGATATCCAACACTAAACGAAACAAGGCAAACGCCAGCAGTTCAAAAACGGTCAAAAACCTTTCGCCCTTCCGGGTCAAACACCTGCCCACAACAGTGACATGGCCACCTTTATAACCCAAGATACACGAGGCACACAAAGTGAACCGCAGCTCATGTTTTCACATCGACATATTTGGCTCCTGCAGATGGAGTCTCACCAGTCTTTGGAAGATGTCTGTAACTTGGACTGTGGAGAAGTTTGGTGGAGTGATGTCTGGTTTTATGTGAGTTTGAGCTGTCGACAGAAGAGGAAAATACAGGATTACTGAAGAAGAAGAAGAAATCAAAAACAAAACGACCATGGTTAAAAGAACGGTCCTTACACTGGATCTCTGGAGCCTCTGCCGTCTCGTCAAAGTCGTCCTCCCGGTCCAGCTCGGAGTATTTGTCCAAAGAGCGTTTGTGTGCCAGAGACAGCACGTCCTGCAGGATGTCCATCTTCCTCAGGATCTTACACAGACCGTGGACGCGCATGGCCTCTTCGTGTCTGATGACGGCGCGGCGAAGGTGAGCTTTACCTGCAGACAAGATGGCGGACATTTTTTATTTAATGGAATCTCAAAATGTGTTTTTACTTCTTCAAACTTCCTTCTCCGCACAAGAGCTCACCGAGCTTTCTCCTTTTCTCAGCGTCTTGTAAAACCTGGATGAGTGTCGGTTCTGCAGGAACGTTGATGTAGAACTGGAGGAAAGCCTTCTCTGCTTCCTCATCGGCCTCCTCCTGCTCCTTCTCCTCCTCATCATCATCATCATCAGCTGCTGCAGCTACAGACCAGGACACACCGAGGTATTAAAGATGAACACGGTAAACCGTAAAAGAAACGTCATGGTGAAGACTTACATGTGTGGTCACAGAGAGCAACAGCAGCGTAGTAATGAGAGAGGGCGCGGAAGTGTTCAGATTTGACCTGGACCATGGACGCCCAAGAAAAGGGCACGTAGTCCTTCATCAGAGGCTGCGTCATGGTCTGATGGACTAACAGGTAGACGTCCGACACCTTCAGGACAAACACACAGTCAGATATCACAGGATGTCAGCACAACAACAACAACAACAACACGACACAAACACACACGTCTTTACTCACCCGTGCTGCTTCTTGCGCCAGGCTGAGCTGGGAGGTGAAGTGCGTGTCCTGCGTGGTGAGGATGACCCGCTCGAAGACGCATTCCTGCACCTGAGCGACCATCAGCCGGACCAGCATGCAGAGAGACGGACAGCTCATGTCCAGACTGGGAGCGTTGGAGAAGTTCTCTTTAAGGTAATTAAACGCACCTTAAAAAAAAAAAAGAAATCAGTTTTTTCTGCTTCTGGATTCGGTTTTCTGAGCGAACACAAATTCAGCAGAAGTAAGCTGACTCGGCTGTTTTTCTGTTTGCACGTCCCGGCCGTGTGTCCCCACAAAACAAAGGCGTAAAGCCGCTGGAACATTCAGGTAAATATGTGCTGTTTCAGTACCTGCAGCCCTCTGAAAGGCATCTATGGCTCTGTCTATGCCGGCTGTAGCAGAGCGGTCCTGTCGAGCTCCGATCTGTGTGTAAAGAGCGCCGATGTTGAACAATACGCTTCCCTTCTCAAAGGCCAGCGTTCGCTGACAGGACGGGACGCCCGTTAGAGAGTCGTACCTGAGAGACAAAACACAGGGCGTAAACGGACTCAATGCTTCCTGTTTTGGTGTCAAGAGATCTCTGAAGACTTGAGACTACAAATAAAAACATGATATTTGAGGATATTTCAACCACCATTTCCACAGTGTCTGTTTTCAGAGAAGTCAAAGTACGTTAGGATGAGTGATTTTTCATTGATTGTACTGCTTTCGTACAGCAGTATGAAATCCTACCAGTGGAAGTGCACGCCCAGGTTCCTGTGCAGAGGGAAGAAGCGCTGGTCCAGGTAGTAGAGCTGGTTGTAGTACTCCATCAGGAGCTCCAGACCGGCCTGGTTACGACTGGGTGTGCGCATAGCCTGGTACAAACACGCTCATTTATTCAAAACCACCTCCCATATTTTACAATCCTTTAATAAAAGCAGATTTTATACTAAATTTATTTCAGTTTTTTGTGATTAAAGTTATTAAAGTGCTTTTGTAAACCTGTCTGAGCTCCGTAAGCTCCTTGATCTCCTTCTCGTAGAGGGAGCTGTCCTCCCCGTAGTGCTCACAGATGAAGTCCTGAGAGAGGAGACAAACATGAAAAATGAACTGTGGAGGATTTTACTGCCTCTGTGTAACTTCAGGACTTAGATATATGAATGAAGTCTAACATAAAAACAGATGGACGCTCCTTTACCTGGATAGAAACGGCGAAGTCCACCTCTTTGGTTTCTTTTAACCCCAGTGGGATCATGGGAACGTTGATGGCCTCGCTGTGAACGGACACAGAAACAGTCTGTGACTCTCACTGAGGAGTTTAACAACATAATCTCTGTACTTTAAGTGAATTTTATCCATCTTTATCCAACCGGAGTCTCTAAAATCCAACCCCACACTTTCAACTAGGGCTGGACGATACGGGAAAAAGTTTATCTCGATATATTTTTTCCGCTGTGACTTCAGCAGCAGGGGAGGGGAGGGGCTCTTTCAATGAACGAACTCGCCGCTGTGTCACTCACTGGTGTACTGCACCAGCAGGACGGGGCTCCGGAGCACTGACTCATTCAGTGAATGAATCTTTTGAACGAATCGTTTTAATGAACAGATTCTAAAGATTCAGTCAAAAGAACTGATCCTCCATCACTGTATGGTTGGGTGTAGCTGCTGTCTGCTACTGCGCAGTTGTTTGCTACTTGGTTCTAATTCAGCACATGATTGGTTCAGCACGAAGCAGACCCTGAGTAACTCCCCTTTTCATTGGCTCTATCAAAACATGTCAGAATGACGACTATCAAAAAGCATGTTGACCTTGTTTAATATCGATATATGAGGGAAATAAATTTTTGATATATATCGTTATCGTTTTATCGCCCAGCCCTACTAACAGTTTTCCTCATGATCCTTGCCTAGTGTTCATGTGTGTCTGAAGTGTGTGTGTGTGTGTGTGATTGTGTGTGTAGCGTTTCACAGATTACACTTTGCATGTAAACACACACAGACCACCGTCAAGACCACTATGCTCAGAGCTTCATCCTCCTAATGAGCAAAGCCAAAGCCAAGCATTAACTCTTAAGGTCCCAACACACACACACACACACACACACACACACACACACACACACACACACACACACACACACACACACACACACACACACTGCCGCAGCCACCCCCCATCCCATTCACAATAAACAACAAACACACTCACACCTCAGGGTCCTCAGGGACGCTCTAATCAGGGATTTATCCTTCTCATGACCCGAGCAGCAGAGGAGCAAAATCCCCGAACTGTGAACAGGTTTTATTATGCTTATATGGACCCTTGTTGATATACGTCTTTATCCAAATATATATATTATCATAACTAGATTGAAATCCCGATTTTTATCTAGTTAAGAATATTTGGTAACACTTTACAATAACCATAATTTATTAATGGTAAATGGATCATTTATTAATGTTTAATCATCATTTAAAAACAGCATATAGACCTATTATAAATGGTAAATAGATAGGTTATTAATGTAAGTTAATAGTTTACCATTAACATAATAATAATTGTCATTAATTATTAATGGATTACTTATTAAAGGTTTATATTGGATTTAAATATTGGTTGTAAAACATCTAGATTAAAATGTGCGTCAGTAGCAAATGAAAAGGGAGCTCCACCGAGGGGTTTGGGGGTTCGAGGCTGATGTGGGTTCGGTCACGTCTGTGTACCTGTCTGTCTGGTAGACCTCCATGTTGCTGTTGAGCTCCTCCAGCTCCTCCTTCAGCAGCTGCAGGTTGGAGTTGACGAAGCTGAGCTCCAGAGCAACCGTCTCCTTCACCTTGTTGTTGCTCGTTGCTCTGCACAAATAAACACACACACATTTACACACAGTCTTATTAATTCAATGAAAATCGACTTCGACTTTGACCAACAACTACATTTGAAGTCCTGATAAGGGCTGTTTGTTCCCTTTACGACTAATGCTAGAGCTTGGTCCACATACCTAAACGGTGATATAATATGGGTTTGGGTATCAAGCACAGGTGTGTAGACTTTAACCTGAGTGATGTACAAACAGCTTTGACATCGTTCACTCATTTGTGTTCAGAAACTAGCTGCAGTGAGACATCCTCAATAACAAACATCTCAAACCAAGCTGGGAACTTGTCTCTGATAAAGACTCCCTCTTCATCCTCCTCCTCCTCCTCCCCCATCCTCTGTAAGACTCCCTGCTCCTCCTCACATCAGGGGGGAGGGTCTTAGTGCTGAGTAAAGCCAGCTCACACTGACTGCACACACCAAAGTAAAAAGCACACAGTGTTCCTGTAAATCCAGGACCTCACTGGGATGCTGTGGTAACTGATGAAACACACTGTGCTGGAAATGTTGCTCAGGAAAGTCCCTCTGATTTGATCGTGATCTCAGAATAAGAAAAGACTGAGTCGAGTGTATTTATTGTGTTTATTCAGAGTCCTTCAGTTTGGTTTAAGACGAAATCCTGAAGGTCATAATGACGAGTCAGCAGCAGGTGGGAGACACATGAGATTGTCTGTCGACCGGTGAAATTTTGGGTTTATTCTAACAAAATAACATCAAATTATCCCAGTATCAGAGGGATTGGCCTTTTATACTCTTCATTCCTCTACGATGATTTTGACCCCCTGAATGCAACAGTATGTGTCTGCAGAGCCGGATATTATAATGTATATTATAATGTGCAATCTCATGTACATTATTAGTCATTGCACTTCTGTTTCATTCACTACAATGCTCGTCGCCTACAGGTCAAATCGTACATTTCCGACTTTTAGATATTAAAAGAAATCGAGATTTAATAAATTTCAGACTGTCATGGAAAATTGATAGATAAAAATGTCATTGATGGAGCCTGTCACACTTACATTTATTTCAAATTCAAGACAACAGTTTTATTGATTACTAAAAAATTATGTGATTCACGTTCGATACTCGATCATGACGTCGCTCCATTCGAGCCGATAACTTTCGATAAAGGAGCAGCGGTTAAAAGGAGGGTTGTGGATCTGCTTGGCTCTTCGGTTCTGTTTTAAAATCCCAGATAAATAAAATACAGCTGAGGTAAAAACTCTGTCACTGTAGAGGTAAAACGTAGAGTTCATGAATCAACGGCATTAACAGACCTGATCAGCTGGTCATGTAACGCACTTGTACGCTGAGGGAAACAGCAGATTCAGACAGATACACATAAACTGCACTGGTCTCGTGCATTAATCTAAAATCTTCTCTTTTTCAGAATCGTCTCTCGCTCCTTTCGCTTCGTCACGATGATCAGCGGCGACTTCTGAAGAAAGAGAAAGTTGTGACTGTTTGACCCGTGACTAAAGTCAAGCTGCTGAAGCTCACCTCTGAGCTCCGGTACACGGTAATCTGTCCAGTGAGACCACTCTACCTTTACTACTCCTCTCATCTGTCCCTCTCTTTCTCAGTCACACAAACACACACGCTCACACACACTCACACACACACACCTCTTCTAGGATCAAGCCAAGGGCAATCTGATTAGTCAGCTTTAAATGGGCTGCCAAATATCCCCTCCATGCACATAGGGACTCGCACGCACACCACAGCGTAGCTTTTGGAGGGTAAAAATAACTTCCTGTGAGTGTGTGTGTGCTGAGAGAAGCCAAAAAGCAGGTCCTCTATGAAGATGTTACGTTCATGTGTTCACCTCCCTGACTGATAGGAGGACCAGGATTGAGATGTCAGAGCTCAGCTGAGTTCCCACAGAGAATCACTCACATCCTGACCTGAGGGGACTACCCCGCTTTTGTCTTTAATTAGCATCTTAACCCCTCTCTCACCCCTTCACCTCACCCTCCAGGACTCACACTACGACTGTTTCAGAGTGAGTGAAGTGAAACTGAAAGCAGGGACCTTTGTGTGTGTGTGGATGATTCCAGTTGACCGGAAAGAGGGAGGACAGACAAGAAAAAAAAGGTCTGATGGTGCCAGACAAATCAGTGGGGGATGAGCTCGCTCTGTTGGGAATCTCTGCATGGGAACAGGACGGGAGGTGGACACAAAGCCGGCTGATTACAGGCAGGCGGGCCGTGTGGGGGTCCTCTTTGTCTCTGTGACCTGTCGTCCCAATAGAAAGGGCAGGAGCGCTTGTTTTATTTCCCCTGAACTGAGTCATCACTTTCACAATAACAGCCTGAATCCTGTTGAAAGGGGGGAGTTCAGAGGAAAAAGAGAGAAAGTGCACTCCTCAGTGAGTCAGAAGACGAAGAAAAAGAAGAAGAAAAAGAAGAAGACGAAGAAAGAGGAGAAGAAGAGATGGGCTGCAACAAGCACTTGTTCTTGCTTACTTGTGCGTCGTCTCCAAAGAGGAACACATTTATAAAGACAAACACAGGAGTATAATCCTGAAGATTTTGGGTTATTAAAAATATAGTTTGCATTTATATAAATTATCATATAAAACAACAAAACCACAAAAATTTAACTAGCTGATGAGCTGTCGATCAGAGTGACATACTCACTGTTTCCAAACTCAGAAAAGAAGATTTTAGTAAATTAATGACACTTATACTAATCACTATACCTGTAAGCTGCAAATAAAGCCACTATAAGGAGTTTTTGATGCTTTTGTTTGGTGTGTATCAGTAATGCATGAGCATCTGAGGACAAGGAGCAATGACTGAATTCTAACTTTGCAGACTAAAGTTGTGATTTTCAGAGATAAACAACCTGAACTCGTATAGAGAGAGACTGGTAAAGCTAGCATGAAGGTTTCTCTGCACACCAGCATCACCGGCGACACCCAACTGTTTGGACATGTTTATTATTGTCAGTAAGAACAAGCATGTAAAAAAGTGGAAAACGCTGTGAGGGTTAAACTTTTTACTCCAGTTCTTTGTCACATTTAGTTAAATTTGAGCCTCGATTTACGTGAGTGCGAGTCTGCTCTGCTGTTGATATTATTCATCCTTTTTAAAACAGTATATGTAGCTTTGTAATAGCATTAGTTAAATCCTATATGATGTTGCAAATATTTATTATTCAGAGTAAAAATGCATTTGGTCAAAGTAGTAATCCCAATCTCCATAATACAGTCGCTGGGAAATCAAAGTTACAAAATCTGAAACACTTTTCCAAACTTTGAACAAATTTATATTTTACAAAACATATTTACAATTAAAAAAAAAAAAGTAACTAGCAAAACACTTTTACAGAAGACAAAACATATGTGTAAAATGCAAAACACTTTTACAGAAGACAAAACATATGTACAAAATGCAAAACACTTTTACAAGCTTTGAGACGGAAATTTCGACGGAAAGGGAATGTGCCAAATATGGAACCTGACCCTGAAGTGATTCCCTGGTCTCCGTGGTAAAAGTGTTTTACTTGTTACATTAATTTTTTAATCGTTTGTTTGTAGTTTGTAAAAGCATTTCAGATTTTGTCATTTTGATTTGCACTTCCCAGCCACCGTACTTTAATCCATCCACTCCTCAAGGTGAGAATTTAGCAGCTGCAGCCAAATCGAGTGTTGAGGGTTCCTCCTTTAATTAAAGACACTCTTGTTTTCTGTGTCGATCTAATTAGATTCTGACTCTAAACCACAGAGAGGAGAGAAAGCAGCCCCCTGCTTTAATGAAGAGGCTCCTCCTCCTCCTCCTCTTCCTCCTTAGACTCCCAAACTGAATCTTTATGAGGAAAAGGAGTGCCAGCAAGTTCACTACGAGTGAGTTTTACACAGTGGTCTATTCATGTTACCAGCTACCACAACAAAAGTCCAGAGCAAATGTATGCACATATATTAAACTCATACTTTCAGCTTTCTCTGTAATTCACCTCTGAGTGAGAGAGAGAGAGAGAGACACATGTTAGAGTCTGAGAAAGTAAAAGTAGAGAGAGGAGGGGATCAAGATGACGCTAATGCTCTCAGAGGGAACACTTTGATGTCCTGCCACCATTTCTTTTACTATTTCCCTCATTTCTTCACCGAGTAACCTTGACAGCTCGGTGGTGCCAAAGTATCCAGAGTTCAATATTTTTCTATGTGGGTGTAAAAAAATACAAAAAACAGAGAGAGGAAACATAAAAACTATACGACCCGGCGAGAGAAAGGTCGAATAAATATGCATGTCCACACAAACAGAGCTGTAAAACTGGGCGGTGCAGCAGCTCGTGTCGTTTAGAGGGCAGTGATCTCTGACCTTTTCCCATCACAGGACACCAACACAAATGTCACAGAACTAACAAGCAAACAAAGAGCAACCACCACAGAGGAGACCTGGTCTCATAAATCAGCTGAGAGGACCTTTATTTTGACTCTTACCTGCAGTTTCCCTTTTTCAAGTCAACATTTTGAGCTGTACTCGTCTCTAAAATGATTTAACATCTTTCAATAAATCAGATGATGCAGGAAAAGTCTGTCAGTCGCTAACACCGCTTTGACAACATCAACATTTTCAGTCTCACCTGAACAGGTTTTCTGCTCCCGCTCTCATGCGCATCTCTTTATTGATCTGCTGGTTGATTCGAGCTCGCCGGTGCTGCAGTTTACTCCTCTGAGTCTGAGCGAAGGGGTCACATCCCTGCAGAGAGGAAAAAAGAGAGAAAACTAACATGAATCTGACCCGTTTAGAGTCCAGGGATTGCAAACGTAGAACTGTGATTTGTACAGTACAAATGACAAACTATGACCCAGTTATTATGTCTCATTTCCATTTAACTACCTCAAAGACAGACAGCATTAACCAGTAAAGGATTACTGAATTAATCCACAGACTGTTTCTGAAGTTCTCCCCCCACAAAAAAAACCCTCCTCTGACACAGACGACAGATTAAAAGACAATCGGAGGATAAGGTCGATTTAATTAGGGAGATAAAACGTGACTCTCCAAAAGTCACTATGACGCTGTGAACTGAAGTCTCAAACTCTGAACAGATTTCAGGAGTTATTCTGTGAAAAGTCAGAGAAGTTCAAACTATAAAACGATACTCACTTTTTTTTTAGGAGGAAAAATCACTAAAAATAAAACTGCGGGATTTTCTAGGACAAAGATGAACTGTTAGGTATAAAAGTGATATTGTAAATAAATATGAAACCTTCTAACTCATGTCTCTCTGGATATTAAAGGTGTTTAAAAGTTTAAAAGTTCATCTTTGGAGGTTTAGTACTGAGTGAAAAGAGGGCAAGAGATCAAATCAGTGCTCCTCATTAGCCGACGACCTGCTCTGTCTCCTCAGACGTCCAGGTGACGGCGCCGACACATGACCGTTAACTCAAACATCAGACAACCAGCGAGTCTTTTTTCCAAAACCTGCCACACATCACTGGTTTCAATGATAACTGTCTTCTTGTTGACAATAAACTAACGTTAAAACCAAAAAGTGGGATTTTAGGGATTAACGCATTAGAAGAAGTTGTTATTTACTTTTCTGTTAGCTGTTTTCATTCAATTCTGACACTTACTTTCTACCTAATTCTTTTCAAAATAAAAGCATGTCTTTATAATACAAAAACAGCGCAACCTAAACAGGAAAAAGTAAAAAAAGGGAACACAGCCGTACAAGAGCAGCTGATAAAGTTTACGCTGAGGGGATTAGCGTCACTGTAATTAAACATCTACATTTATAACAGAGCAGAAATGATCTTTAATCCTGAAGCATCTTAATAGTACATCTCATTGGTGACCTTATGCTGCACTTTGGATAGAGAGCTGCCTCAGAGGTTTACTCCAGGACACAAAGGGAGGAGAGCCAAAGATGACGGAGGTTGTGATGAACTGGGAGCGCAGGAGGAGAGAGAGAGGATGGTGCTAAACATGATCATAACTAAAGGTGGTGGTGCAAAGAGGAGTAATTGGATTTATCTGGTGAAATGTCTAAGATGTGAGTCTGTTTGGGACCTACAGGCCTCTTCATTTCATACCACCAGGGCGGCTTCTCACACTGATTGTTAAACTGCTGCTCCCTAAAGCTCAAAATCTGTCAGACAATTAGCCACAGCTTCACACATGGATATAATCACACACAGAAACATGACAGACAGAGCAGTTGCACTGTAAACAATCAGCACACTCCCCTTCCTTATCCTCGAACCTCCTAAATTCACCGTCTTTCTCTGCGTTTGCAGATTCAGTTTTTCTCAAACCCTCCCTCGCTCTATCTTTTTCATGCCTCTCACCCGGTTAAGTTGTTTGTTTAGCATGCATACGTCAAAGTAATCCTCCGAGTGGCTGTGTGGATTAGACTCCTGGCCGAGCTCCCGCCTCTGCTCCTCCGTCACAGGGGCAGGAGGACAGAGTCAAGACCGACATCTGTGCAGATAAAGTCTGAAAGCTTCAATGCCCAGGTGGCTTTAAGTCTTATTGTTCAGCCGCAATGACGCAAAAAACAATCGGACACATCAAAAGCAGTTCAGGTGGAGTTAAAGGAAACAAGCCCAATGTTTTTTAATAATTGAGCATCTGTTGATATTTAGTCTCCTTGTATTTACCCAAATGATAAAGCTGCATCCTGTTTACATGTAAACAAATAAGCTTGAACATATCTTCAGTACATCTGATTTCACTTGGTCCGGCTAGCATTATCGTAAAACTCAGAAAGACCCATCAAACTGATGACCATTCAATACCACAGCTTAAACTGAAAAGTGGAGGAATCCAGAGAGCAGTGAGACTCAGCGACGACACGAAACGGAGAGCTCAGAGTTCCGTTTCGAGAATGCAGAGCTCCTGATATGTGTTGTAAAACTAAGTACAGTCAAATCATGTTCATAAACTCTCGATAAAGGTGTTACCACTACTGCTTTAGTGAACTCGCCACGTTCAGCTGCATGTTCGGTTTGCAGATGTCGCATCAAACTGCGTAAATGCATCAACCTGGTGAAATGAACATGTTACATATGCTGCAAGTGGCTGTTAAACTGATTTGGCTTTTTGGTTTAAAGGTCTTGCAGTCTGAGCGTCCCATGTATAGAGGCTATAGTCTTCGTCATAGCAGTTGGTGGATGCTGCTTGTCTCTCCCCTCTCTCCTCTTCCCACATATCCTGATGATTGGCTCATACTGCTGATCCTACTTCTGTTCAAAATGGTCAGATTGGCCCTGATGCCATAATTGAGATGGGTATCTGGACATCCATACTGTTACCAAACTGCTAGTGCCAAAATATAAGCACCTATCTAATCATTTGCCTTTCACGAGTCTTTTGTATCCTCCAGTCTACGGCTTGACACTAACTTTTTTCACATGAGCTTCTAAGTTGAAAAAGTAAGGAGCACACAAAAAACTTTAGGGGCACAATGAAAATTGATCAAATAATGTTTGTCTTATTGTCCGACCTCAGTGCTATTATTTGAAATCAATTTTAAGTCAATTGGTAACATGACATGGAAGCTATTGAAGGAAAACAGCCTTTTTGAGAACGTCAAACAGTAATTTATTGACGGTCCCTTATTCAACGCAGACGTTGACAGTGAGGGTGGCGAGTAGATTTAACCGCGCTGCTGTTGTTATTCCCGGTTATGGAGAGTGAGAAGACACCTGTAGATCCTCAGTGAATGTCCGTCGAATATCCAACCTGAAACTAACTTCACCGCTGTATTTACAGGAAAATATATCCAACCTAAAACTAACTTCACCGCAGTATTTACATGATTTTTTCATGCACACGTGACCCTTTATACATTTTACAATTCGCACACATCTATTTTTAGTCGCAAATACGAGTGAAACAGTCGAACTGACGAGTCCTGCTCTAGTCAATCAGATATTGTGCTCTATCGTTATACCGATCTCCTTTATCGCGATATTTTCGTCATCGGTGTATCGAGTATCGTGCGTACCTTCGCAGTTCTCTCACACCTAATAGTACTAATAGATTCTCCAGAGTTGTCAGACCTTCAGCTTCAGTGTGTGTGTGTGTGTGTGTGTGTGTGTGTGTGTGTGTGTGTGTGTGTGTGTGTGTGTATGTGTGTGTGTGTCCGTGTCCCACCTTGCGGATGCTCCCGCTGTGGCTGCCATCTGTGGGTAACGTTAACGGCAGGTCGTCGTCCGAGGCACCGTCTGACAGGGACATCTCCGACTCTCTGCGGAGGGTAATGTCAGAATATTTTCGGCTTATTCTTTTCAAACACCTGCTAAAATATCACGTTACTTAAAAACAGTCAACCATGTCTACATCTGAAGTTGTAAAACTGCTCCAACTCTAAAAGTACCCAGCTGAAAACGGGACGTTATGAGTCGGGGTTTGACCACTTGCCTTGTCGCAGGTTCCTCCATCGTGAAACAACAACGACAAAAGCGACCAGAAAGTTCCTACATTTCTCCCAGGTATGTAAAGTTCCAGGTAAACACAAAACTCCAACAGTGGACTAAAATTAAAACTTCTTCACCTCCTAAAAAACACTATCTCCCTCTTATTCTCCTGATACCTCCTCCTCCGCTCGTCCTTCTCGGACTTGTGTGCAGCTGCGAGAGCTTATCCGGAGAGGCGGGCCGTCCAGGCGGGAGCTAACCAATGGCGTTGAAGTTTTGATGAATGACAGTCAATGTAACGAATCAGAGGGGAGATTAGGACCGAACGACAGCCGGAGCTGACCAATCAGAAGTTGTCCTAGGCGTCCCCCTACTCCGCGGGCCGTTGCTACGGCAACGTCAGGGCTGTGGCTTGTGTGTGCGTGTGTGGGGGAAGCTCCACCTCCCCGTGGGACCGAAAAACTCCAAAAACACGAGAAGAAATGACCGTTTCTGATTTATTTTATAATAGATCATATTTGGAAATTTTACTACACAATTATTTTACTTTTATTGAAAAATAATACACTGAACGATCTTCAGGTGGCAGGAAAATAGTGGAAATAATGTGACATTTAATGCCAAAAAATGAGAGAAAACTGTTATTTATTCATGTAGGCGTTTCAGTTTCATGTCATAAAATCCCATAATTTATTGTGCATCCATGGTTAAATTTATAATGGTCTGAAATGAAAAAGCACCCTGAAAAAAGTTCCCTATTAAAACTTTGTGAGGCATTATGTTACATTTTTGGGTATCTGTTCTTAAAGCTCATATAAGGAGTTTTTGACATGACTAAAATAGACTGAAATTCATATTAATGGCGCTCTATCCAAAAGCAAACAAGACCATCAGCAACAAAAGGTCAAGTCTAAAGTTTTTAAAATGCAGAATAATCCATATTGTTTTTGATTTTTGCACAAACTGTATCGCAGCCTGCAAAAAAATCCCTCAGAAACCTTAGAAAGTATGTTAAACATCTCTGTGCTTGTTATAACTAAGTAGTTATTTTTATTCTATGATTGGCTATTCTTATATTAGTAATAATACCGCATAATGGTTTCATATAGTGCTTTATCAGAGTCCCTCAAAGCTCTTTACATTGGATACATCATTCATTCGCTCACACAGTCACAATCTGGTGGTGGTAAATTACCTTAGTGGTCACAGCTGTCCTGGAGTAGACTGACAGAAACGTGGCTGCATCTACGACCACCACCACACAACACTCACAATCATACACCAGTGGAGGACACACACTGGGGGCAAAGTGGGTTAAGTCTCTTGCCCAAGGACACAACAGACAGACTCGGGATGGGGGGGAATCGAACCGCCAACCTTCCAGTTATTGGACGAACACTCTACCTCCTGAGCTACTGTCGCCCTTGAGTGTGATATTTTGGAGCTGCGTACCTGCAAAGCTGTGAGAGTGTATTATCGACTCAAATGTTATGAATTACTGAAGTTAAACTTGACCAGAAGGATCCATACTTTAAGTCAAGTCATCAAACTGTATACGCAGTCCACCTCTGGTTTGGCACAGACTCAACAAATCACCCTGACCTCATTTGTTCTTTGTTGTTGCTGCTATCAGGCAGAGGTTGGTGCTCCTCCTCCTCCTCCTCTGCGTTCCTAATTTGTCCATCCATATCTCCTTATGGCAGATCCTCCTGTTCTTGTCCCGCTCCAACAGGTAATTAAAGCTCTTCCTAGAAATCAATAACTGCGTCCAGGCAGGCAGAAGGTCAGCTGCGGCTTTCCAACATTAAACTTTTGGGCTGCAACCTTTAAGGAGTCTAAAACCAGCTCACCTGCAGGGATTTATTTGGCCATGTGTAGAGATTAGCTGGCATTGTGAGTGAACCTTGATTGATTCAAAGAAACCAAAATGATGGTGAGTGATGTTAATTTACCTTCATCTGCCTGAATCTCACTTTATTTTCATTGTCAGATGAGTTGAAACTTAACTTTGCACAGATTTGCAGATGTTATGGTTGGGGTTTTTCACACTTTGGGTCCATGGAAACAGATAAAAGATGCAACTTTGTAAGTTTTACCAACCATTGCCTTATTTTGCAAACACTGACATGAGGTTTTATACTTCCAGAGCAGAGTGAGTGAATCTTGTTACCAGTTTTGACCCACCTATTTGTGTTCATACTTACGCAAACCTCTTAATCTAACATTAACTTTTATTCTTCGAACCAACTGAGTGTAAAAATAATCTTTATAGTGTGTTTATAAATACTCCTTTCTAAGTCAGTCTCTTTAATACTGGATTGTTATTACTACAGATTAACAAATACCGGTAATCCATCATTAAACATTTGGGCTGCAACCTTTACCTCTAAGTCCGGATCACCTGCAGGGATTTTGTTTGTAAAGCGGTTCTGTGAGGAGAGATTGTAGCAGAGGATGCAGAGAGACGACTGAGTTTAAGTGCATTTGATTAAAGAGAATAAATGAAAGACGAGAGTTTGAAGTATGATGTGTTTAATTTGAACAACCTGCATCTTGTTTTGTTTGCATTGTTTGAATACAGCCTGGCAGGGTCTGAGTATTTCAGCTCTGCACCTTGATTCTCACATGTTTGTTGGTCAACGGTGACCAACTTCCAACTCATCTCCTCCAGCCTGGTGCTCATCTGAGGCTTTCTCTGCTCCTTCTGTAAATTTTCACACTGATCTCGTCTTCCTCTCTCTGTCAATCCCTTGCAGGAGTATACACCAAGACTAGTTTGCTGCAGAGAGTTGCAGAAGTTTCCAGAACCCATGGTCCACTCAAAGCTGTTACCTGAACAGGGGTGTCACCAGGGATTTTGGGTCCTACAAGCAAAAATATCACATTTGGCCCCCTCACTTCATTGCCCAAATCCTCCATCCTCTTTAAGGACCTGAATCAGAGATGTGTCTTAATATTTATCCTGATTTTTCTCCCTCTGTAGATTTGAAATTTACACTTTTTCAAAGTATTTTCCACTTCATGTCTCAGAGCGAGTCAGTTATTCGGCCACCAGAGGGCACTATCACTCTTTTCAATGAAAGTAAACATCCTTTTTATAAAACGACATGCATAAACACCCTTGTATTTTTGATGCACACTAACAAGGGAATTTTATTTTTGCCATTTTTATTTTAAAATGAATTATTTTAAAGAGTTTGAACCACAAATACAATGTCGTGTGGAGATCAGTCATGCAATGTCTCACCCCGCTGTGAGCAAAAGTTGTGTTATTTTCTCCCCCTGAATTCAGAGTTTGCAGGTTCAGACTTTAGAGAAGGTGACGGCTCCGGGGACGAGGCTGCTGAGGTGACAGGAGGTCTCACCGAGCGAGAGCCGGGAGGTGAAAGTTTCTGGAACAGATGGTTACTGAGGTGGGCAGGGTGGCCTGCTCTCCTTTCATTAGCTCCTGTGTCACGCTCTTATTAAACTGGAGGGGAAGCTGGCGGGTAACAACCACAGGAATATAGGACAGCGGAAATACTCCAGACTGAGACGGGGCTTAAAGGTGATTAAATATTCAGACACGAGTGGCTGTGGTGTGTGTGCTGTCAAATTAAATACATCTTCATCCAGAAATTAACCTTTTAGCTGAAGGCTTTTAATTCTGTTTGTTCATTTAGGAAGCAAAGAGGTGAGTGGACCTTCAAATTACTTCTGAGACTCTGATTTTCATGAACAGATTAGTTTGAGTGTGATCCAGATTTTTGCTGGTTGTGGTATTTAAGAATACAGAGACGATTTATCCGGTGTTGTTAAAATATAGAGAAATGCAGAAGTGTAGGGCTGTGCTAGACTACTCAGGGGTGCAATTCAGGAAGCCAAACCAAACTGGAAACACTAACTCAACTTAATTTTCTGTCATCCTGGAAACACACAAAAAGGTGTAACTGAAGGGGCTGTAGACCCTTCTGGAAAACAGTAAAAACCCACTTGTGTCCGTCTGTCAGATGTAAATCTCTGCACACCTTTTTAACTCTCCAAAACAGATCAATTAAAAAAGAAATGTGTAAAGAGTGAGTTGTTTGGCCAAAACACTCATCAAACCAGGTTTTAAACCTGTTTATTTCTGCTGTAAAAATGCTCATTTAAAACATGAGTGTTAATGGGATTCTTTGTTTATACAGCCAGCCTGAAGTGGACACTCGAGGAACTGCAGTTTTTTTGGACTTTCACACTGGCATCATTTTTGCTCCCTTTATGCAGCACATGATGCTCAAACACAGGCCAGCTTATCCTGGGTCACATCACAGACAGTTTTTCAGATAGTTGTACAACCAGTTGCAACGTCTTTCAACTCTGTTTACTTGTAAAAACTCAAAGACACCGGCTCCTCTAGACCCAAATCTTCTGCAGCTGATTCCAGGCTGCAGCAGTAGTGCACTAAAAACCCTGTTTTCCAATTTCGAGACACAATCTGACAACAGAAAGCAGAAACAAGTCTTAAAAAGTGGTTGGAGAGCAAAGACAAAGAGAGAAGCCTATCAAGAGTTTCCTTCTAGATAAAGACAAGCTAATCTACAGACAAACAGGTGATGTAAGAGGGGTTTAATGCACCTTAGATAACTGGTAAAGAATGTCACAATTGTAGTATATCATAGCTTTACATTTACATATACTGCATCTTTATATCCTGAAAAAATGGAAATTCCCCAAATCTGCATTCCCCAAGAAGCCTGAAGAGGGCGACTTCATTGGCTGTGAAAACTGGTCTGATTTTGTATTTGTTGTCTGATTCCAAACATCGCTCATTATTTCCTCAGTCACCAGATAGCTTCACTTTAGAGTCACAGGTTTAATGGTTTGTATTACAGCAACAAATGGGTACCAATGCTCTGAAGCGTTTCCTGCTTTATTGTCACATTTCTCTTCCAAAATTCTTAAATTTACAAAATAAACAACGTGGTTTACTTGATAAACTTGCCTTACCTTTGAGTTTAACATCAATATATGGTGTTTTTATCTAAATCTTGACCAACAAAACATCATTAGATATCAGCAAGCCTTAAACAGAGTTTCTTGACCCAGATGTCCATGTTCTCCATGATTCAGAACCACATGTGTGAGCCATGTGCCGCGCTCATTAGTATTTCCTCTGCATCCTCACAGCAGTTGGTCTCTGCATTAAAGAACCTCTGCGACTGGAAGTTGTTCGAGGAGGGCTGGATGTACTGAAAACATACTGCAGTATTTCTTCCCAAGGTCACAGTCTGACACCGACATCTATGAATGTGGTGGTTTTATGATAAAACCTTCAAGCTGTGCGTCGGGGATTTTCACCTCAGTCTGCTGATACACTGTGGGAAATGTTATTTTATGCTTTGCTGCTTAAGACGGGACACCGGTGGAATAGCATTTAGAGTCTGCTGTCCCTTTGACCTTACCTGGACTTGTAAGACCTCTACTGTTTCACACATGAAGGTGAAGAGGTGGCTGCAGGTCTTGGTGTGATACTGAATTTTTCTGCTATTTCTTTGTTTAACTTACAGAAACTGTGAGCTTACCAGTCCTTGATATCTTGTTGATGATTGTGTATTCAGGTTATACCGCTCTGTTTTTTCAGAAACGAGGCTGAGGTATATCTGAGTATCATCTGCGTAGAGACTGAGGTGAAGTGGAACAAGGACTAAACCCTGAGGAACCCCACATGTGATCTTTGTAACAACCCAGAGACCAAATTACTGAATAAACACTTGTACCATGTGTATTTATTAGTGATTAAAAAGGAAGTACAGCGACCTCAGGTGGCGAAATGTAAGAAAACAAAAACACTTTTTTTGCAGTTTAATATTCTCGACCTTTTTGCTTAACGTCACCACCACAGAGTAAAACATTTGATCTTATTGCCCTTTAATGGAAACCTTTTTGGATCACTTAAGTTTATTTCATTTTATCCCAAATATGTGCAAGTTTAGACAGAACAGATACCTTTAGAAACATGGTGTTTACAGCAGAGCGTAATAATCACACTGTGCGCTTTAGTTTGAGCTCTGAGCGTCGTCTCAGATCAAAAAACGGTACATAGCCCTTAAATGATGAGATGTTCAAAGACATTATGAAGCTCAATAAATGAATGTTTCTTTTTTTGCAGTTGGGTGTGAACAGAGAAAAGCAGACATCTTTTAAACAAAACACTTTGACAATATTGTGGGGCAGTAAACTGTTTTTTTACCCCTAGTAATTACAGCGTTATTACACAAGACAGTGGAAGGTGATAACTCTGCAGCCTTATTATGTCTGCTACAAAGTCGACAGTGATTGAAAGAGTTTCAGAGTCTCACAGCGTTAAGGAAGGTAAAAATATTTGGATTGTTTTTCTAAAGGTGAAGTGTTTGCAAGCAGCAATACAACAAGCACAGCCCAGCGTGGATTGTGTATTTAAAGTGATTCTCCTCTGTTTGAGTTACACAAACAGACAAAGGTATTTTCACAGCTCTAAGAAGAGCAGAACACCAAGACAGAAAATATCAACACTGAAACGTCACAGCTTCAACAGCCGTTTCTTCTCGTCACCGCCAAAATGGAGTCCAACCTGAGGCAAAAATCAGAATCTCCCGCCTCCAATCTGTGTGAAGGAACTACAGCTCACCTGCAGAGGACAAAACCGTGGATAGAGCTTCAATCCAGGACAGACTTGTAAATCCACTCAATGTGCCACTTAATTTCTCCCAGAAAAGGTTGGTCAGCGTCAGTTAGGTCCCAGAGACCGTGTCCGGAGGTCGCTGCTGTAGCGTCTCATCTATGGTGACCACCACGTCCTCCGCTCTGTTAGAGCTCAGGCAGTTTGTGTGGTTCAGAGATATGTAGTTCATTTCCACCAGCCGGGGGCGCTCACCCAACTCAGTCATCTCGCTCATGTTGTTGGTGATGCAGTTTATTTCAGGCGTGTTGCGGTTTGGAAAACGGCGAGAGCCAAACACCCAGTCTGAGGAGAGAGAGGAGTAAGAAGTTAGATACTTGAGGAGTCGTAACCAGTCCTTGTGCCATTTCCTTCAGGATAAATTCACTTAACTGTTGACTTTTTTAATGCTTCACATTATCAAGGACTTGAATGAGGTTGGAGACTCTGCTGGGTATCACTGAGGTCTGTTTGTGTTGTTAGAGTCTCTTGGAGAAGTTTTATGTAAATAAGAGACAAACAAAGTGTCCCTCTGTGCTGTTTACAGTACTAGAAATCCACTTTTGACCGGTTATGCATGCAGGATACTCAAAGGAAAACTTTTTACAGCTCAACCGGGACAAAACTCAGGTTTTAGTCATTGGCATAGGGGACAAGAGAGAGAAACTGGTCAGCAAACTCAAAGCACTATCCTATAATCTAAGTCAACAGACTAAAAATGTAGATGTTTTATTTGATTCAGAACTGAGCTTTGAAGCACACTTACGGCATATCACCAAGAAGGCATTTTATCAGTTAAAAAAACATAACCTGAGTGTGACCGTTTCACTATCAAGCCATACATTAATTCATGCTTTTATCACTTGTAGAATAGACGATTGTAATGCCCTCCTTTCTGGTCTCCCCAAAAAGAATAATTCACGTTTGCAATTACTCCAAAATTCAGCTGCACGGATGCTAACAAGGACCAGACCGATTTTAAGGTCTCTGCATTGGCTACCCATCTCTTTTAGAATAGATTTTAAGGTTGTTTTATTGGTTTTTCAAGCTCGTAATGGTTTTGGCCCTGATCTGTTTTACCTTATGAGTCAGGTACAGCCCTCAGTTCTTCTGGAAGTTTTCTGTTAACATTATCTAAAGTTAAAACCAAGACATACGGTGAGACATCTTTTTATTACTATGGAACAATTTACCTGAAGACCTGAGGACTGCACCTAATCTTAATGACTTTAAAAGCAAACTCAAAACGTACCTTACGTTTCCTCAGTGCGCACATTCCTGTTTCTATGAAATCGGCACTTTTCAAGTTAATGCATTTTAATACATGTTCCTGTTGTGCTGAGATCGTGGGGTGGGAATGAAGGGTTGGGCTGGGGTAGATTCGGGTATTCTTTGTTTCTTTTATTCCTTTTTCTGTGTGAATTGCTACATGGTTGTGTATGAAAAGTGCTATATAAATAAAGACTGATCGTTTGATTGATTGAAAGCAATCCCTTACTAAAAACCTGTTTCTGTTTGACGACCATCACGTCTCACTTTGAGAATCAAATCAAACATTTGGAGACGAACCATTTACCTAAAGTCTGAAGTCATTTTGTGTCTTCAAATAAAGAAATGCAGTGCTGTTTCTTCCACCACTATAGTTTATGACAAGTGTTCATGAGGCAGAAAACACCCACTACAGTGTTTGAAAGTGTGCAGAACAATGCTGCAAACTTCATCCAACAGAAAGTTATGGCGTGTTCAGCCTTTGTAATTCCATTAGAGGTAAAGCACCATAAAATTGTTTCTGGGGGAGGCGTGTGCAGCACGGCGGCCCTGCGGTGTGTGGTGAGGCCTTCCTGAATTGGGACACATCAATCATTGTTCTGTCAGATGAGGAGCTGAGATTATGCATGATGGTCCAGCGTGTGAGAGGCAGACAGAAAGAAGAGCGGGACTCCTCAGACCCACAAAACACCAGTCCAATATTTGCATAACTGTATTTATTCATCACTATTTACTTTAAACAGAGAGTCACGTTTTAACAAGATGCTCTTTGGTTGTTGCACAATGTCAAAAAACAGGAAGCATCTCACTGCAGATGAGTCCTGACAGCGTTTCTGCAACCTTCATCTGGTGAGAAGTAAAACAGCTTGAAAACACACATCCTCCACATTTACACCTCAGCTAAAATACCCAAGAGAGCCAGCGCTGCCCAGCCCGGGTGTTTGTGTCAATGTGTACGTGTGAGTTTTCATATGAAGGTGAGAAGGTCACGTGAGACCCAGACAGTCAGATGAGCTGTTACCGCCGACAGGCTGAAGAAACCGGCATGTCTCTGTGGTAAAGGTAAGTGCAGCAGACTGTGAACCATGTGAGCTCCGTGTTATTCTTTACCTGGTTCACTGGATTCACCACCGTCACCTTCAGGAACAATGGGCCTGCCTCCACCTTTAAAAAGAGAGGAAGAGAACTGACAAGTAAGTGGTTCTAAAGAAAGACTAGCTTTTTTTCATGAAATGAAACAGATAAACACAGAAATCAATTTTAAACTAGCTATAGGATGACTTTTTTTTTTATCATATACTATTATACTATGACATTTTTTAATCATACATTACTATGCCCACTTTTATCATACTATACTATGACACTTTTTCATCATACTATACTATGACATTTTTCAATCATTCATTACTTTGACATTTCTATCATACTATACTATGACATTTCTATCATACTATACTATGACATTTTTAATCATACTACACTATAACATTTTTATCACACTATACTATTACATTTTTTATCACTCTATTCTATGACATTTCTTACGATACTATACCATGAAATTTCTTATCAAACTATACTTTGAAATGTTTTATCATACTATACTATGACATTTCTATCATACTATACTATTACATTTTTAATCATACTACACTATAACATTTTTATCACACTATACTATTACATTTTTTATCACTCTATTCTATGACATTTCTTACGATACTATACCATGAAATTTCTTATCAAACTATACTTTGAAATGTTTTATCATACTATACTATGCCCACTTTCATCATTCTATACTATGACAGTTTTGTCATAGTATAAAAAATGTCATAGTATAGAATAATCAAAATGTCATATGACATTTTGATCATTCTATACTATGACATTTTTTATTATACTAAACATGGACAGTTTTAATCATACTACACCATGACATTTTGATCATTCTGTACAATGACATTTTTCATCACACTATACTATGACAGTTTTATCTTACTATACTTTTAACATGTCTTAATTATACTTAATTATCACATTTTTTAATCATGCTATACTTTTTTTATACTTTCCAATGACATTTTATTATACTATACTATGACATTTTTTAATCATACATTACTTTGACATTTTGATCATACTATACTATGACACTTTTTCATCATACTATACTATGATATTTTTATCATACTAAACTCTGACATTTTCTATCAGACTATTCAATGACATTTTTCTCACACTATACTATTACATTTCTTATTATACTATTCAGACATTTCTAATCATATAAACTATGAAATATTTTATCAAACTATACTTTGACATTTTCATCATACTATACTATGCCCACTTTTACCATTCTTTACTATGACAGTTTTATCATAGTATACTAAAACATTTTTTATCATACTGTACTATGAATATTTTTATCGTATTTTGTTATGACATTTTTTTTATCTTACTATACTATGATAATTTTTTATCATGCTATACTATGACATTTTTCTTAAACTTAACTAACACATTTTTTATTCATGCTATCCTATGAAATTGTTATCATACTATTCTATATTTTTTCAACATTTTATACTTTGACATTTTTTATCACACTATACTTTGACATTTTTTATCATACTATACTATGCCCACTTTTATCATACTATACTATGATATTTTTATCGTACTATACTGACATTTTTTAATCATACAATAAAATGACATTTTTTATCTTCCTATACTATGACATTTTTCAATCATTCATTACTTTGACATTTTGATCATACTATACAATGACATTTTTATCACATTATACTATTACATTTTTTATCACACTATTCTATGACATTTCTTATGATACTATACTATGACATTTTTTATCAAACCATACTTTGACATATTTTATTATACCATACTATGCCCACTTTTACCATACTATACTATGACATTTTATTATACTATACTATGATATTTTTTACTCATACATTACTATGACATTTTTAATCATACTTACAGTGACCATTTTTATTGTACTTTACTATGACATTTTTTTTATCATACTATGCTATGATAATTTTTTATTCATGCTATACTATGACATTTTTATTAAACTAAACCATCACATATTTTATTTATGCTATCCTTTGACATTTTTTTTTACTTTCCAATGACATTTTTATCATACTATACTATGCCAACTTTTTTCATACTATACTATGAATTTTTTTTACATATTATAGTATTACATTTTTTTAGCAAACCATGCTGTGACATTTTTATCATACTTTCTATGATTTTTTTAGCATACTTTACTATGACTTTTTTTTTTATCATACTATATCATACTATACTATGACAAGCACAGTGGTGTGTTAGACTTATGTCTTTTTAATCCAGTATCTACACAAAAGATGCATTTGCTTTGCTTGACATGCACCTTCTCTGAAATGTTACCATACATTGAAGCAACAGGCAATGTAAGCTCTGTGATTGGTCTGCTTGGCGGTGGACATTTCCTGTATCACTGCGGTTCCCCCTCCTCTACCTCAGCTGCTGTCTCCTCTGTCTCCCCTTTTTCTTCTATGCAAAAGCGGCAGCATAATCAACTCCTATACTATATATACCTGCTCCAACTCAAACAGATTACCCTCAGATTCAGTTGCCATGGTTTCCTGTACAGAAACAAGGAGGGACACTCCCGTGCACAAGTATGTAGTGTGCACAAGAGTGATGGTGTGGCCTTGGTCTGATACAGAGGCATTTCTGATTAAAAGTCTGATTCACATTTCTAATTAAAAGTCCTTTAAGGCTCAATTAAAGGCGCATTTAGCCAAATGGACCAAAAAATGCCTTTTTTCAGCCAGAAAAGGAGAACCGAAATTTGAGTTTAGGTCCTTGAAAGTTCCTTGAAGTATTAAAATAAGTACCCATTTATTGCTTGTTGAAAAGTTGTTGCCGAATCCCAAATAACTTATTTTTTCTTTGTAAAATTGTTGTAAAAAATCCCCAAATTCTCTACAGCTCCTCAAAAAAGTGACTCAAGCTTGGATAAAATTTCTGCCACCACCCCCTTAATGTTTTTTGCACACTGTTGGCATGTTGACCTACTTTATTCCCAGAACTTCACCGGTATTCTGTTTGAAAAAAGTGTCCAGAGCACGCCACCTGTCCTGATCCCCCTCCCGCGCTGAAACAGTTGGGTGAAATTTTCTATTCTGCTTCAACTCGTCTGATGTAATGAGCCGACAAACCGGTCCAGTCAGCACAATGAGGCGACGTGTGTCCTCAGAATAGACTCATTGTTTCATTCCTTCATTTATTATGTATAACTCTTCAAAAATAGAGAAACAGCAGCAGGTCTCCTCCTCTCCGTTTCTCCACAGACACTTGCTGATTTTGGAGTTTTTCAGCCACAAGGTCATGAGCTTATCTGTACATTAGCTTGGAGTGAAGACTTCATTTCGGTCGATTTTACTGAAACCTCTCTGGTTTTCTACGTATAAAACTATCAATGTATGCTTTCAATAATTAAAGAAACCATCTGTTGCTACTTGGAGGCTCAGAATCACTTCTTACATGAATTAATCAAGATGTTTGCAGGCTGCGTTGTAACTTCCAGGCAGTAAATTTGTTTTAGCCTAAAGTGGAGTGAACAGGGGCTTTCAAGGAGGGCTCCAGGTGCTTGAATGAAGTCCAGGGAAAAACCGGAAACAAGTCAGAGTTTGGTTCAAGATGGAGGCCTATGTGAAGAGGTCCTGGCTCTGATGTAAGTGAGAAAGGCCCGTTCAAGTTCACAAATCCACATAAAAGACCGGCATTCAACCCACAGCCATGCTGCTTAAACTGATCAGGAGGCAGAAGCTCCTGTGACACCTGAGCCTCCATTTGTCAAGTTTGTACCATCAGAAATATCGCTCTTCTCTTCCTTCTGGTTCATTTGCCACAGACACTCACTAAACATGAAGGATGAGTGTGTTTGTGATTCTGCAGAAACATGGCAGTCAGTAAAAATGTTTAAAGCCAGCCCAAGGCATAAGCGAACTAAGCGCCTGTTTAGGGCCCCACAGCCGGTAGGGGGCCCCCAAGAGCATCATATTTTATTATTTTTTGCATGTATGAGTGATGCTTTCTGTATGATCAAATATACATTATTGTAAAAATAAGATTGAATTAAAGTAAAAACATCTTAGTGCCGCTGCTGATGTAGGCCTATGATTCTTACTGTTGATATGTCAAAGCTCTGCTACCGTTATGTGCCTCCTGCTGTGCAATGTGCACTGAGCATCCAAAGAGCAGGTAGTTGTGGGGCAAAACAATGTCGCAAAAAAGGACATATCCTTCAGGAGCAGAGAAAAGAAAGAGGACGAAAGAAGAAGAAGAGTAAAGACGCCAAAATAAAGGTATGTTTGCATGTCAGGGAATGTTAATCAAAGAGATTTGTGAAGGTGTGTGAATTATCAACAATCAATATTATTAGCAGAAACAGAGGGCCCAAAATCAAATTTTGCTCAGGGCCCCATCGAGGCCTGGGCCAGCTCTGTGTCTTAGCATGAAAAAAAATCTCATCCTGCCGACTTTAAACGGTCAAATCTGTAATTTATTGCGAATGTATAAAACATTAGCTGCTTAGCTGACGCCTACAATCTTTGAGGCATTAAAAATGAGAGTATAGACATGGTCAGTCTTGTTTTTTATGAAAAGACATCAATATAAATTCCAGTCTGTTTAATTTGTGTAAAAAAACTCCTCACAGGAGCTTTAAAACCAATTATTTTTGAAGTTTTTCATTTCTTTAAACATCTAAAATCTGTAAAAAAATATTCTCACATTTGTTTAGTAGCATGCAAATGTTTGGATAGCATCATTAAAAATATATAAATAATGCTTTTTTATGTGGTGTATCTCAAATTTACCCACCGTACCAAAAGGTTAATGCAATTACATCCTAATCCGCGACAAAAGTTGATTTTAATGTCATAAGATTTTCCCCAGAATGAAGGAGAAAAGGAGGTAAATACATGTGCATGTGAGGCTGAGTTATCGTGTGAACACATGACCAAATCTGGGCACAAACGGGTTAAACTGATCGTCTATGAAATGAGAGAGTAAATGCGCACACACGTTAAATAAAGGGGTCACATACCGACAAAGTCGTTGACCACATCTTTGACCAGGTGCCCCACTATTGCATACGCCACGGCCACCACCACCAGCGCGGCCATCACCAGGTAGAGCACCGCTTTGGGGAGCGGGATGGGGTCTCGGGAGGGTGTCCGGTAGTCCGTGTACAGCAGGTCACTCTCAGAGTAAGAGTACTGAAAGACGTGCTCCATACCCGAGGTATGGTTGGAGTTCAGAGGAGGGTTACTCGCGCTCATGGCGCTGTCCGGCTGCAGAGCGGTCACCATGGTGGTCGTCACATCCTCCGCTTTGTCCATGTTCACCAAGCCCGTGGTTTTATTCATCAGAGGCAAAATCTGCGACAGAAAATAGCTCCAGTCCTTTATGGCGCTGGTGTTGCATAAAAACATCGTTTCAGGCATGTTATCACCAAAGGATGAGGGTCAGAAATGCGCACAAATCCGCACCAGACTCTCCAAAATCACCACCAATACAGTAAAAATGTGTTAATTTATAATCCAACAGATCCCCGAAATATTAAATCATCCTTCCAACAGAAGCTCCTGAAAACTTACCCAGATTTGGTTCACCGACTGCACTCAAAGCGTCAGTGTCAGACGGACTTTTACGCACGAATAAAAGGACTCCAGCGCCTCTGATTCTCGCTGTATCTCCAAAGTGACTCAAAAACCATAAAACAGCAGAAAAAGAGCAGCTCACCGTGACAGCCGAGGAAGCACACGTGCCAGACAGTGAGTCATCTTCTCTTCACGACCTTAAAAACGCGTAAATGTTGCTCGAAGCTGCCAAGTCTGTAGTGCCTGCGAGGACCTGGCGCCCCCGTGGCCGTCACATATGTTTACGATGATAATTACTCACGAACACCCGCGTCCTGGACCATCCTGTGAACCCGCACGAGACGCAACACCCCCTCCACGCGCTGCTCCGAGGTGTCCTGAGGAGAAATGAGCAGCTGCAGGGAGAGGAGAGGAGAGCAGGGACAGCGGGAGGCTCTGATCCGCCCTCCTTCTCCAGAGTCTGCAGCCTGAGCTGAGTTCATGTCCTTTCATCCACAGGCTGGTATGAGTTTACCTCAGGGATGAAAACAATGATCACAGTGATGAGAGTCTGAAATGATGATCTACAGTGGAGCTCAGTGTTCATACAGCCTCTTTAGGATAGGTGCTATATAGTTTTGTTGGTTTATTGAGGACTACCCAACACATTGGGTAGATGTTCGGGCATTTGAAACCGAGCACTACACACTCACCAGATTGATGCCACAACTGCTGGAGTGAGGAGACGTAGGCTACAAAGTAGGGCCAATTTTAGCCTGTTTGAGAGTAATCGGCATCGGCCAAAACTCGCCGATTGTCGCCGATATTTTCAGAAATAAAATGCAGAGAATAAGATTCGGTTTCATTTCGAAAATTATCCCCCATTTGAAAAGTTCCGATTCATCCAGTAGGTGGCGCAGCGACCTCATGCCAATCTTCATCCACTAACTACCTCACAGCACAGCTGAGTGACGGATCTGAAGCAGGCAAAAGGAGAGTGGTCTATCTCAACGGTAAATAAACTAGTTTGTAAAATACACAATAAGTCAACAAGTTTCAGTTTAACCCACTTCACCGGTATTGGTATCGCCCCTAAAAAATACAAAGCAAGGTTTGTTACATTCCCACTATTTTTTTACCTGATTGTTTTAGCTGATGTGCAGTGTAGTGTGGTCAGAAAGGTTGAACTACTGCTTTTATGGACTCTCTGTCTTGATGTTTCCTGTTGATACGAACAATCAGCAGATGACTCTGTGACGTGGAGTTGATGCAAGATACAACTTCCTGTTCTGTATTGTTTATTTTGAAAAGATAAGAAAACTATATTAAAAAAAAGAAAACTGCCAAATGTTTACAAACTCTAAAGTTCATTCTCTGTCAGTAAAATGGAAAGGGAGCTGTTAAGATGCGGAAGTAGCTCAGGAGGTAGAGCGGTCGTCCAGTACAGTTTACTGGATGAAAAGGAAAGTACTTTCCTGTACTGTAGCTGATTGGTGTCCTGTGTTGAAGCTGGGGTATCGGGATTGTTTTATTTCCTATTTTACTTTTTTTACAGCCATATTTCTTAGTCATTTTACAGTTGAATGTATTGCACTTGTATTTATTATCTATTTATTTAATTATTGCTGATTTGTGGTGCTGAAAGGGGACTGTTTGAGCCATATGCTTCTGTGATTGTCCGGCATTTGTCTGTTTCTTGATCGTAAAATAACATAGTGGGTTAACTGTGAAATGAATTGACCTTCAGGGATTAATAAAGTTGTCTGAATCTGAATCTTAATCTATATTTGCATAGATAAATAAGAAATAGATCAGTTCTGTGTGTGTGAGGTTGAACCACAGAAAGCACCAGATGTATTCTTAACATGTCTTCCATGAATAGAGAGTACATAGCGTGCACAAAGTTATGCAATCTTTGTGTGAATCATTAGTTCCTTCGTACTAAAATATGAACCATTATACTTCTCAAACAAACAGAATTTGACATACAAACCTGCCTCTAATAGAAGCCTGCTTCATTTAAAGACCTGCTGGTTTGTTTTTTAAGGATTTACTTATTTATGAAAAGAATTAATCTATTTTTACAGAGTCTGATTTTTGACGTCTCTTGGTATTCTGCTCATGGTTCCCTTTCTGCGTTAAGATACAGGGATGATAAAGTGACATGCCCGTACATTTACCAGTTATCTCAGTGATTTTTAGTCCTGTATATCTCTGCCTTTCTCCTTTCCCTGGAAAAGTGGCTCGACTCAATTAAGATCCCATCAGCCGCTCGGAGGAAATGTATTAGACTCACTGACCCTTAAATCAATCATGGCGTCCAGTGAGTCACTGCAGACGCCACTGCGGCCTTCAGAGGGTCAGCTGTCAGAGCAGAGGGGGATGTTTTTAAGGTTTTCAAATGTATCCGTCACCGGCTCCAAAGTGGATGTCATTCACTGCTGCAGCCAGAGAGGTGATAAAGTTGTAGTGTGGAGTCAGATATGAAGTGAAAACTGGAGGTAAATTTGTGGAAATGTTGAGACTAATGTTACTTTTCTCTGAATTTAGGTGGACATATTGCTTTTAGCACAAGAGCAAATTGTCTCAGCTGGAAAACGAGGATATGAAACTTGTTAAGATTGGATTTAGCCCACCAAACGTTATCCCTAAATTAATCGACTAGTTAAGGATTCAAAACTAAATTATCATTTGGGACAGAATCAAAAAGCTGCACAGAGAAGACAAATCAATTTAAAAGAAGTATTCATCTCTTTCTGACACCTACCTGGGTCTTTATGATAAGGAGAGTGTGAAAGGAAGGAAGAGAGGAGGAGAAATCAGGGCAGAGCATCCTCTCTCTCTTCCTGAGATAATCAGCAGGGATTGTTAAAGCGGCGAGGAGGAGGACACACGCCCGTGATCGAGTCCTGCTGAATAACACAGAGTCAGTGTCTGTGCAGCTTATCTGCCTGTCTGATGGAAATTACCCCTCATACTGCACTCATGCACTTGAATCAGTTATGACCCCGGTCAGACTGACACTTCCCTCCCCTTCCTCGGCTCCTCTTCAGGCTGATATAAGCTCTCTTGTGTCACTTGTCGCCTGCTCCTCCTCGCGTGGATAAAAAGTCATTTTCTCTCCCTGAAGCCACCAAGGTCAGCATCCTCCACCCCCCCAGGCCCTCCTCTTATGTCAGATCCTGATCCTCAACAACCCCGAGGTGAGCTCAGACTCAGGAAGTGGATTCACCTTCAGCACACACTCTCCATGATCCTCAGACTCAACACTTTGACCTTTCAGTGACATTTTCCTCTGGACTGAGCGTCTCAGATCTGCTGTTTATGCTCCTGTCTTCTCTCTAAATTCACACATGGAGGTAAAACCCTGATGTGATAATCTTAAAAAACGGGCTCTATGATTTACTTTCACCTCTCTTTGCTTCCAGACTGCGGAGACTTGCTCTCATTAATTTCAATGACCTGTGTGAAAGGAGTGGGAGGAGGACCGAGGCTGCACAGAAAAGACGGGTTATTGTGGAGCTGTTTGATTCCACAGTTTGTAAATAGTTTATCTCATCTAGTTTTATGTTTTTGTTGGACTCATTTAGAGCATTTTTACCAGTTGAGATGTTTTACAAAGTCAGCTGGTCCACATGTAGTTAAAGGGATATTCATTAATTTAGGGTCAAACACACCGCAACACCGAGTTAGACAACCCCTCGGGCGATGAATGCTTCCCCAGTTATACCAACTTCAGTAACGACCGCACGATAGGAATACACAGCGGTCTGAGGAGCCATACACAAACCTCAACCAAAATGCCACTCTATAGCCACAAATAATGCTCAGAACAGCACCTAACTTCATCAACAGGACATATAGGGTCACAGACATAGTACTAGACACCAAACATCTTTTTAACTTTGACTCATTTCTCTAGCAAAGAGACTAAACACAACTCACCTACTCTCTTCCAGCAGCCGCTTGTTTGTAGCGAGACCTCAGGCCAGTCCATTAGGGACTACAGCAGGGTGACGCAGCTCAAGGAAGAACATTTATGATCATAACTGTCTAACTCGGTGTTACAGTGTGTTTGACTCGAAATTAATTTTACACCAAAATGTCCCTTTAAGACACAGAGAGAACGTTTAAGGGAACAGTGTTAGCGAACAGCTCCAGTTTTCTATTGTGACACAAGTCAGAACACTATTTATAAGGATTAAAGGAATAAAACAACCTCTTTTAATTAACGATACGCAAAGGCCCAGGTGTTGGCTCGTAGCTGGGTTACCATGACGACAGACGTAAACACACCTTGAACCTTGAGCTGCATGTTTTTTGGGCACTTTTCATCAGCGATTCATCAACACTGCAACAATAAACCCATATTTTACAATCCTTTTTTGTCCTCTGGTGATAAAAACACTCTTGTCTCTTGTAGCTTCCTGTGTCGCCTGGAGGATTTGTGTGAAATCATGTCAGGGATAGGTCAGCCTTCATCCACTCCTCCGCCTCCTCCTCTTCCTCTGTGGATATTCAGCAGGTTAACAGGACACCGGGAATATTGATTTTCACCAATGAAATGAAATTGACTTGATGTATTTGAGGGCCTTCTATCAAATCCACAGCATCCTGTTCAGACTGGAGGTCAAAGGGACATGTGTCTGCCATAGCTCATGTTTACAGTGAAGGGTGCTCAGTAATCTGAACTATAAAATTCAGCAGCGCAGAGAAAATAAACACTCAGACACCCTGGAGCACCCGGGCTGGCGGGTTATTTTGATGTGCAGAGTTTTGTTTTATTTATCTGGAGTTTAGTATCACAGTTTTCTGGATGTTTGAAATGAAAATAAAACCAGAGTTCATATTGTTCGTCATCCAAACTTCTAAGTGGGATTTTTTATGCAGATGACTCCAGAGTGTGGTGCTTGGTGTAAAAGCACTTCTGTCCAGGCATTAAGAGAACTTTTATTTAGTAACTGCTGGATATTTAAAGATATATTTTTTGTTCTCCATCTCTCTAAACCCAGCTCAGTCTCAGCAGATGACTGTCTAACATCAGTCTGGTTCTGCTCGAGGTTTCTGCCTGTTAAAGGAAGTTCTTCCTCTCCACTGTAACTTGTCTAGACTTGCTTTTTGTAAATTGTAAATCGTCACAATATAATTAAAGATTGAGATTGATTGGATAATCTATAATGTTCCCAAGCACAGTAGAATCATACAGACAGATACAGCAGACCTAACACAGGAAAATACGTTGAGTCAGCACAATTTCATCGGCGCATCGTTCTGAGAAAAACACTGAGATATTAATGAAATTGTTTAACAGTAGATACATGCTCTGTGAGTTGTCTTTTTGACTCAATTGCACAGTTTCTGTGGACACGAAAGCCAGGTAGTCTTTAAATAAACCACTGACGTAGTTCTCTCAGACAGAACGCAGGGCTCTCAAGTCTCACGCATTCAGCGTGTGACACACGCATTCCCACCCGTTCACACGCTCACGCGCCACACATTGTATTTCTCACGCATTTAAATGAACATGGTGATGTCCACCAAGTTGCACGTCTTTAACTATGGAACAGATAGGAATCAACTGAGTTCCTCCGAGAGTTCAGAAGCTGCGTGCCACGCGCAAGCCAATCAAATAAAGTATATCTACTGAACAGCCAATAAAAAAGCAGCATTGCTGTATCCGGGTAGATTTTGATATCTTACGGTTTGACTACAGAAGAAGACAGACACTCGCCATAATAAAGCAGGTTTTTATAAGGACGAGATAGACCCGATGATTACAGTAAGTCAGTAACCTACACATGCAGAGACCTCAACACCTCATGGCATATAAACTCATATGATAAACTAAAGCCCTATGCTATTGCTATTAACAGCTGTATTGATGGATTTAGCCTCTGTACAGCCATTTCCAGCCATTTTCCCCTCCACAAAAGCAGCATTTCTCATAAATCTCAAATAGAAGTTCTGATACTCATGACAGTGTAATGCTCATGTACCAAAGGATTAAGTATCTCCATGTTTGTGAAACCTATACTAAAGTAAAATTCATCTAAATGCTCCACAGTGCTGATTTTAACAACTCTCCTTCACAACAGGTAACTTTACGACTTAATACTTATATATTAATGACTTTATTCTCCTAAATAATAACTTTATTCTTTAAGATTTAAAAAAGTTTTTTTTCTAATTGTGCCCCTTATACTCCGTTGTATTTAAGAGATAATTACACTAATAATTATCTTCAATCACCCCCCCAAGGAAATCTCACTCTAAGCTTAGTTCAAAACTTGAGAGCCCTGCAGAACGTATTCAAAATAGAAGCCTGTCTCAAATACTAGCCCGATTCATATTAAGGCCTGTCTCTAATACAAGCCTGTTTCAATATAAAAGCTTGTCTCTAATACAAGCCTGTTTCATATTAAGGCCTTCTACTTTCAGGTGAATGACACTGGCTGGTTGGGTTTGCTAATTTCTTGCAAATTCAGGATCAAATGCATTAATCTCGTTTGTTCCCAATGAGTGTTGATTAAGATTGACGTCTGCTGAGACGAGCTGTGATCACAATGCTAAAGACTGAGCCTTTACCTGATGCAAATATGACCTGAGTGTTGGAGCGTTTTATGAACATGAGTCATTTTAAATCCAGGCCTGTATTCAGAGTCAGAGCCTGTCAGCTTTCTTTAGTGACGGTGTTATTTTTGTCTGTGTGGCAGCATGCAGTGGGTCTTAACATCGACACATGACACTAAACCTGGATTTAACTCCCACGCTGATTATCTGTATTGTATAAATCACACCGCACAGATTCCCTCTCAATAGGAGATTAATTTCAGAAGTGGACATCCCTGTTTGTGTTGGAAATAATCATGTAAATGAAAAAAAGAAAGGTGAGCCTGATTTCCGGCGGTGAATAAAACCTGTAAAGAGGATCATTTTTATCTGTTAGGCGCAGGTCACACCGTCTCTCGTGTATTTGAGGTATTTCATTTGAGGTGTCCTCATTCCTTTGTCCTGCTGGGGGCGGCTGCTTCTGCCTCTTCTCCTGCCAGGTGGTCTTTTTTTATGCTAAAAACTGTCTGACATTTGGCAAAGACTAACTCTCTGTTTACCTTTGAACTTCTGTATCTCTGCAAACACCTTTGACCTCCTGCCAGCTGCAGCAGCTCAGAGGAGAGGAGGCAACAGAGCGGCTCTAACTGAGGCTCTTTCTGTCGTCAGTTATTGAACATTAGGCTACTGCGCTCCTGGGTAAGAAAATAGCTGATAAACTCTGATGTTGTTCATTTACTTTGGCATACTTGTACCCTACTTGTTAGGAGGAGCATTTCCAACGAATAACTTGTACAAAAGGAGGCATCAGGAGTGAATAGGTTCACAAGTAAGTGAGAAACAGTGTGAGCGAATAGTTGAACAGTTCTGGATTTTGATCATCTGTGGTGTATAACATTGTTAAATGATTTCGAAACAAAGGCGTCAAGGTAAGACACTGATACAGTGCGGTCGTGACCCTGAGACCCCCGGCAGCACTGCATCCAAAGGTGTTTTTTAACCACAGGAAGTAGGATCTAAACTTAGTTCAGGAGTGAAAGAAAGTTCCTGGTGCTTGGGGTTTCATAGCACTGTCATGTTTTCTGTTGATGTAGTTTTTCATCGGTTTTGTTATCTGAGTGTATTTTTTGGTGTATTTTTCCTAGTGTTTCTGTTCCCAATTGTTGCCGTGATCCTGTCCTGTTTTTGGTGGACATTTGGAATAAATTTTTTGTTGCTTTTTATTTCATTCATTTTAGTAAATCATTTTTGCATTCTGCATTTAGGTCCTTTTCCATTGTTCAACTCTACCATGTGACAGAATGAACCGACAAAGACAGAGGTGAAGACGGGGACAACATACACACATAGAGAAACGAGCAACAGGTGAGGCAGACGAGACACAGGTGAGACTCCTGGGTGATTAACGAAGGAGGGAAAACTAGGGAAGTAAATGCAAGGAATCAACTACTACAAAATAAAATAAAAAACATTGAAAACTGATCTAAAGAATAAAACATGGAAAACAGGAGGAAAACAGGGTGAAAGACAAACTGGAAACTCACACGACTGGACTACAGGGGAACAGAAACAACTCACAGACTAAATTTACAGAACATATCATGACAAGCACCTTAAAAACAGACATGACTCTGTAGTGTAAATCACTGCATGGGTACAAAATCACCTTCAAGTTTGTCGCTCCATCCACAATTACATGTTAAAACTGTATCATGAAAAGAGGAAACTGACTTCTCCCTTACCTTGGATGAGTACAAAGTTCAGTATTTAAGAGTATGATTTATCTAAGACTGTTATTTAACCGTTAAATAATCCTGAAGGAAGCATGAGAGCACGTTTAGATTGTAAATGTGTGCCAGCTTGGCCTTAAGTTACAAAAGTTTGTTTCTGCTGATGTAAGGAAAAGCGCTGTCCTCACCTGAAAGTTAATGGGGATTCACCTTTTCTCCTGGAAACTTCCCAGAGGGTTTCCCAGGACAGCAGAGCTAATTACTTTCAGTCAGGAGCATTAAAGAGAAGCTGTCAGGGTGTGAGATAATGTTGGGACGAGTCCGTCCCACAGCTGAACCGGAGGCACAGCACATCTGGCACAGGGAGTCCCCCTCAGCACGCCTAATGATCCACACCGTCTCCGTCTAATATCTGATCTGCAGCACCAGCAGTTTGTGTTTTCCCCCCAGTGAATGAGTGATGGTAGTTTAGGAGCAGACATGATGTGCATTTATGTGGATGGGACATGGAAAACTGTGAACTCACTTTCCTACGTTCTTTTTACTATGACAAGAACTAACATAATCCCTAAACCACCCAGGCTGGAGCGCCATGAACAAAGGTGAGCCTCGAGTTTAAGTCAAACGTACGGGGCGACATAGTCACAGTCGCGCCGCTGGCCAGTATAACGAATGTTTCACATCAAACAAACCCCATAATGCATTGCTGGCAGATGTCGTGTTATTTAAGTGTCCTCCCATAGGCAAGACTAGCAGCATGCGTTCGTTTGCTATTATCTTTAATCATCATTATCTGCTCCACTTACCATTTTCCCTCTTCCTCTTTTTTCATTTTCTTTTCTCAGTCCCAGATGTACGGAAGCGTATTGCATTCACTTACAAAAAAAAGGAAACTGTTTTTAAGAGTATTATTTTTTTATTTGCTGTTTTTCAGACCAATTTTTTTTCTTCTGTTTTTACTTTTTTTTTTTTCCGTCTCTCTGTTTTTCGGATGATTGTTTTTCCTGACTAAAGGAGATACTTCAAAATCTTGTGAGTATCTCAGACAATCAGATCACGTTAACCACTACTGATTCATGTATCTGACTTAAAGAAAGGAGTATCTCTCAGTGTCTCAAATCCAAAAGAAAGTCAAACTTGATTAAACTAAACGAGCGGGCCATGTTTGCTTCCAATAAATTGAGCAGAGTGGGATGAAATTGTCTGTTTTGAAATGATCATGATCCCAGAGAATAGGAAAGACAATTAGTCTGAAAAACAGAAAAGAAAAAAAGTTGTCATGTCTTATAAATTGCTCATCAATATCATCATAAATGAGGGTTGACAGGTTGAGTCATTGATTGATTTATTGGGTTTGAGGAGCCAGATGATCACAAGAAAGCTGACCAGAAAGGTAGTCGTACTTTGTTCAGAGATAGCCCAAAAATCACAAAGTATTCCACAACATGAGGGAGCATTTATAGATAATTTAACTCTTCATGGTGTTAAAATTCAAACTACAAATAAAGTCTGAAAAGTTTTATTTCACAGCAAACATAAACAGCTGCGGCCGTAAATGACCCTGCAAGAAGTGACTCTGCGGGTTTGTAGAGAGATCAGATTATTTGAAGTGGATCTTGTGCAAGTTGAGAATTCGAGCACGAAATGAATGAATGAAGGAATGAATGAATGAGTGGGTTTAATGTGCAGCTCTCTCTGTGACCTTTTTGCTCGTCTCACCTGTTCGTAATGTCACAGTGATCGATACCACCTTAATGCATTCCCCTCGCGCTCTCTCCTTCCACTGGACTCCAAGGGTGGCTCGCTCAGCAAAGTCACTCTGGTCCTACAGCCGCCATGAATCATTAAACATTCGATCTCTTTCCTGCAGCTGCTTCCAAAACGTGTCAGAGGGGTTTTCCTGACATCAGCAACCTGGTCGATAAAGTTAATGAGAGAAATGTCTTCAATCAAGGGTCAAGAGATGGAAGTTTAAGGCTGAGATTACAACCTGATGCAGTTCAACGCTTGGAAGTATCAGGTGAAGACAAAAGATTTAGATAATTGGAGGAAAAAGTAGTAGCCCATAAATGCTTATTTTATAAGTAAGTAGACACAACTGAGCAGGAAGAAAAACACCGTCCTTTAGCAGGTTAATTGTGCAGTAAACCTTCATTGCTTTGCACAGTTTTACCTCAGAATAGATTCATTTTGTGATCCTCCTCCCCTCACACTGTCCTCCATCTCTGATGTGATAATGGAAAACCTTTGGCAAATAGGATTGTTTTGAAAAACCTTCCCAGGCTGTCCTCTCCCTGATGAAACACATTTGTTTCTGCAGCTTCCCCCTCCTCAGACGTCTTCACGAGGAAAATGGTCTTTTTCACAGCTTTACCCTCCTTGTGTCAGATAAAGAGAAACTGCTCTCTGAAATTTAATTATCACAGATGTCGAGGCGGAGGAGCCGGGGCTTGCACAGACAGGGCGGCGTGTCCAAGAGCAGAGGGAGATTCCCTGATCTCCACACACAGTAAAGATGAGATCTAACAGGACATCAGCAGATTTGACCAGACCTGATGAGAGAGAGATTTCAACACTGACTTTTAGATGGGTGGAAGGTAAACACGTCATTTCCTATGGTGACAAAAATGATGATTGCAACAGCGTCTATCCAAAATCAGTGTGCAGAAAATCCTGTCCATGCAAAGATATGTTTCTGACTCATTATATTTTTATGCAAAACTTTAACTTGTACAAATAAAAAACTCTGCAAAAGCCCGAAACTTAATCTAAGAGGATGATTAGACTTAGTTTCAACCATACTGACTCAGATAAATGTTTTATGTCACGGTATAACCAGCCAAAAACAAAACCTGATCTGATCAATGAGTAACTATTTTTGCCAACAAAGGGGGTCAGACAAATGTGTCTTAAACCAAAACTTAATTTAACTCTTATCTCCATCTAGAGAGTGTTTATTTTTAGACCACCTCTATACGAGAGCATCATCAGGAGGGAGCAGGAAATATTCAGTTGATTGTATTTTTTATGTTCAGCTCCAATCAGAGTCTGCAGGATAAGAACCCTGTTTTTTCTTATTTGTGTAGCTGTTGTGTAACCATAGTGATTGCAGCAGTTTACCCTCACAGAATAGTTCAGAATCATGCAGAGGGACATCTAACCTTTCTGAGTCGTCATCCATGTTATTCAGAGCGGGTTCCTTTCAGGTTAACGCTGGGTTTCTCTGGGGCACAAATTCATCTCCTGTCATTTAGCGGTCCGTCTCTGCACGCTGCTGATGCAGGATAATGATGGGAGGGGCCCAAACAGAGCACGCACACAGAACAGGATGTCAGGACGGTAAAAAATTATGCTCAGTAATGTGGATTTACTCACAGCAATCACATCAGTTTATTTCATTACAGTGACGCTGATGGAAATAGCTTGCAGTCTGTTTGAAAATGTCACTGACCTCATAACCAGGGTTATAAATAAAAATGGGATTTTTTCCTTTTGCATTAGAGTCAGGGCTATAAATGGAAACCTTCTAACCAACAACAATTACGCTCTTAATTTAAAATAACTGGTTTTGAATTTGTGGGATGTGTGCTCTGAAAGTGTGTCTGTCTGCTGCAGTGCAGTGAGACGTCTGTAAAAGAATGCATCCATGTACACAAATCCAAGGAGTCTGCTGTGCAATAGCTGAACTTCCAAATCCTCCACAAGCAGGATTTGCACATGTTATGCAACCTGCTGGAAAGTTTACATTTTACCTACAGAGAAGGGGACTATCAACATCTTTCTCAACCTATGACCAGGAAGCAGCTGAAGAACGGGATGTTAGGCAAGACAAGTTTATTTCTGTAGCATATTTTGGCAAAAAGGCAATTCAAGGTACTTTATATTAAAGGAAACGTTTAAAAATGATCACACAATTGCTTCTAAATTTCATCATAGCGAGAAAAGATCAGAATAGCAAAAACAGAAGGAAAATATACATTAAAGTATTTGTTCAAGTTGTCTGGAAAATCAGTCTTCAATATGGTTTTAAGTAACTGAGCGTTTCAGCACACCTGGCAGAAGAGCAAATCCTTTGGCCTCCAGTTCCTTCAACCACCACAAGGTGGCGTTTGTGACACAGGCCCAGAGACTACTTTTCTGGACCATGCATGAACCCTGTGTTTGAAAAATGAAGCACACGTTTAAGTGATAAAACTGCAGTTCATCCAGTGTCCACTTGGGACTTCCTTGAAAATCCTGGAAGCCACAAATACAAGTTGGATTAACTTTTTGTCAGCTGTGTAGGCCTACTATGTTTTTGACTTTTAAACTTGCCACAGTCATGTATCTGGATTTGGTTTGAGCCAACCTGATTGAAAACAAAAGGGACTCTGTAACAAAGTCCACCTCTGCTGCTGTCTGTCCTCACATCTCCTTGGTTTTAGAGAAGATGCTGCTGTGAGATAGAGGGAGGATATTTAGAGTGATGGAGCCGGCCGTCAGGGTTTGGCAGGGCTGGGGTGCTCTATCTCACTCTGACAAGACCTTAAATGTCTGCTTGCCCAAAGGTTGTGGTTTCAATTTCCCCTTCTCCAATCCCTCAGGGGGAGGGAGCACAGCCCAACAACCTGCGCCGCTGTGAATCCAATCACAGCGCTAATAGAAGAAGGACTCTCATCAAACTCCCTCAGCGGTTATGTCCAGTCAGAAAAGTTGGAATATTTATAGAAAACAAATGTTTGTGTGGATATCTAACAGACCAACATTAATACTTACTCCTATAAATTACCAACAAAAGCAAACAAGACCATCAGAACAAAGACTAATTATTTCTGCAGGGTAGGTGTCGGTCTTGCCCTTCCCTCTAAGGCTATAAAAATTTTGAATACCCACATAAGCTCACTATGGTTATCGGTCCTTTAAAGAGGTGAGCATCATTGCACTACTGATAGTGTTGGAGGAGGAACATGGGCACGCTGCCTTCTATCTCGCTGGCTCTAATAAACCAGCTGAAACTCCAGAGTACAGTAAAAAAGAGTTATAATATTACTGAAGACCTCCACTCATGTGCTTCATTGGCTTTCATCTCTGGTGGAGTTATAAAAGTCACTTTGTCCGAGGTAAATCACTTGGTGTCAGGGTGAAGGCGGGAAGAAAATATTAAAAGTCAATGCCTCTTTAATTTTATTGCTTTATTAAGACAAGATGCTAAAAAAGTGACCCATTGACTCACATAAACATCAGGGGCAGAAGCAAATAAATAAGGACTGAAAGCTGTGAAATTTCATGAGATTATAATGAACAAGATCTTTCTGTATTTCATATTGTATCTTCCTGGCAAACGTGGATCTTGCTTGTGCCCAAAAGCTCGTTATTCTGCTTGAACGAGAGAGGATTGAAGGGAGAGGAGGAAAACCAGAAAAATCACATGTGAGGATACATCATATCAGACTTAATGGAAGTCGTAACTGACACATTAGCCCCTATTCTGAATAATATTGACCGAATAACAACAATAATAATGATAATAAAATGACAGGTGGAGAATAAACAGTTTGATTGCTGAGCCACTTTGGTCTGGACAGTCACTGTGTCTCTCCATCTTTCTTCCCCCTGGTGCTGGAGTTATGAAGGGTAAATCCACTCAACCAGTAGGTGGTGCTGTTTGTTGGTTGTAAACGAATACAGGGATTTTAAGGTTTCGATTATCAAAATTTTTCAGGGATATGTCAAGAAACAGTAGGCTTTACATTGTGGTCAGTGTGGCACATGAGAGGTGACTTGAAAATCGTTGCTGACGTGAATGTGAATAAATCCGGTGACAAAAACTATTTACTCCGGGTAAGAAAACTTTTGAGACATTTTTAATATCTATTCTACAATGACATCTATTTCTACATATGGAAAATGATCCTTATAAACTATAAACAAAGTATGAGAGATTTATGTAGGATAGTTCCATCGATAAATTATGATGCTGCCCCATTTTGATAATGTAGATCAGACCTGAATGTTATTCATCCATTTTAAGACTCACTGGTCCAATTAATAAATACATGACACAGGATTGTTGAGGTGATGAGCAGACTGACACACTGCACTGATAACTGCCTTAAAACAGGAATATGTGTGGGATAGATGAGGACACAGCATCTGGCCCTTTCATGCCTCATTGAGTTGATGGAATACTAATAAAAGCCATATGACAACAGCATACTAAGTGTTCAATTAATATTCTAAAATATTCCTGCGCCGCATGTGGCAGAGACCTGTTACAGGAGAAAGTGACGGCACTGCCTCTCTTGTACAGATGAAGCGTCCTTGTTGACCTTTTTTCCTGAGCTGAGTTTCCTTCAAACCAGCTCAGCCGGACACTCAGAGTACGCGCCGCCGCTTGTTGTCCTGTAACCTGACAACCATCTTGACATTAGATATATAATATTTTCTCCACCGGAGCTGAACAGCAAGAGGACACTAATGGATTGACTGGGAGTTCAATCTGAATTCAAATTTAAATAAAAATCTTTTTTCTCATCTTGGTGTGGAGATAACACTTGGCTCCAGGGGCTTGTCAAGATTTTCTTTTTAATTTGGAGGCCAAACTGAGGCACTGACCTATGTAGGGGTGATAATAATTATTAATATTATTATAAGTAGTAGTAGTAGTTTTAGTAGTAGTAGTTTTCTGCTTAATGATTTTATAATGACTCAATTCTCATAAGTAATGATTTAATTTTGACTCAATCCTTGTAAGAAATGTTTTTTTATGACTTTATTCTCATAAGTAATGATTTTATTACAACTTTATTTTCATAAAAATATTTTCATACGTTATTCTTGTAAGTAATGATTTTTTCTTTACAACTTTATTCTCATAAGTTATCTTTTTATTACTAATCAATTCTGGTAAGTAATGATGTTATTATGACTTTATTCTCATAAGTAATCTTTTTAATACACCTAAATTCTCATAAGTAATAATTTTGATACGACTTTGTTCCTGTAAGTAATTACGAAGTCTTAATTTTTCTTTTTTAAATGTGGCCCTAATACTCTGTCATCCAGAGGGTATATAAATAAATAAAAAAACAAAATTTTTTTAGTTTTGAGTAAATTCTGCTCATAATTCATTTAAAATTGATCAACTTTATTTTATTTTATTTTTTTCCTGTTTTATTCTCTGTACTGCTCCTTTAATAAGAGCAGAGGAAGTAGTCTATCGCTTTAGCTGAGTGGCGCCGCCGGCTGGACAAAGGGGAAAGTGGACGGGGGGATGACAGAGAGTGGGACAGACAGGCAAAATAACCGGCGAAAAGGCTAATTTTGAGAAGTGGAAAGCGGATTTCTCCCCGTGGAAGACTGTTGTGCTACTCTTCATGAGCCCAAGCATTGGTTTTAAGCAGGTGGGTGAGAGTCGGTGAGTAAAATGTACTTTCTACTGTTAACTGGCAGGTTAACTCAATCTCGGATTTAAGCTAAAGCTAACCTAGCATGAAGCTAAATCACGAGCGTTGACAGTTAAACGCTATCTTTCAAAGACACATTTTAATCGGTTAGAAAATGTCATATTCACACTTGGGACATTATTCTGACATGTGTTGATAAAAATAATCTTTGCAAAATTGTTTCAGGCCCTAGCTTTGCATTTATGCCGCGAAAGCCGTTAAACCTCTTTTTGTAATTTAAACTTTATTTAAACTGCGTGGCATTGCACTAATGGC